CCTGGAATTCTGGCTGCTTATTTTATTCATAAGAGCAATGAAGTCTTTTCAAGTTTTTCTTTACAAAATCATTGTTTTGGTTCAATTGCATCAGTTTATGATATGTTTCCCAGGTTTCTCTGGACCATATTCTTTATCATCCCTTAGAGCACAAGTTTTCCATTGCATTGCACTCATAGCCCTTAATTGGTACTATTCTCTAATTGAGAAGCACCCCCTAAATTTTCATCCCCAAAATAACTTTTATAATTTTTTTAAAGGCAATTGGGGTTAAATGACTTGCCCAGCGTCACACAGCTAGTAAGTGTCAAATGTTTGATCTGAGGCCGGATTTGAACTCAAGTCCTCCTGACTTCAGGGCTGGTGCTCTATCCACTGTGCCACCTAGCTGCCCCTATAATTTTTTTTAAACTTACAAGTCCTCTTCCTTTAATCTCTTTGGGGTACCGATGTAATGTTGGCATCACATAATGTTGTTGGGCATATTTCCAAAATGCTTCCCAGAATGGTTGGCCCACCACCAACAGCTCATTAGTGTACTGTTTTCCCATATCCTATCCTACATTTGTTTTTTTCCTTTTTGAATGAAATTTGTCAATCTTGTAGTTGTGAGGTAGAATCTCAGCGTTGTTTTAATTCGCATTTCTCTGATTTGGAGTGGGTTTTTTTTGTTTTCTTTTTTTTTTAGGCAATTGGGGTTAAGTGACTTGCCCAGGGTCACACAGCTGGTGAATATTATGTGTCTGAGGCTAGATTTGAACTCAGGTCCTCCTGACTTTAGGGCCAATGCTCTACCCACTGCACCACCTAGCTGCCCCAGTGTCTTTTTTTTTCCTATAGCTATTGCTAACTTGGATTGCATCCTCTCTAAACAGCCTATTCATATCCTTGGACCACTTATCAGTACAGAAATGACACATCAAATTTGAATCAGTTCCTTATGTATCATAGAAATGAAACAACCATCAGGTGAGCTGGTTACAAGGCTTTTCCCCAGTGAAGTTTCCTTCCTGATTTTGGTTGCATTGATTTTTCTTTGTGCAGAAACGTTTTCATTTTATGTAGGGAAGGTAGATAGCTCAGTGTGTAAAACACTGGGTCTAGAGTCAAGAAGATCTAAGTTCAAATTGCCTCAGACACTTCCTTCATGTGTGACACTGACAAGTAACTTAAGCTCTGTCTCAGTTTCTTCATCTGTAAAATGGGGGCAATAATAGCACCTACCTCTGAGGGTTATTGTGAGGATCAAAATGAGATAATAATCCTAAAGTACCTAGCACATAGTAACTGCTAAATAAATTTAGTCATTATTATTTAAGTAATAAGAATTAGCCTCTTACCTTTTATGAGCTTCTCCGTCTTCTCTTTGGTCATGACCTGTTCCTCATCCATAGATCTAAAAGATAATTTCTTCCTTGACCATCTAATATCTTGATATTACCCTTTATGTCTAAGTCATTTCCACATTTGGAGTTTACCACAGTGTATGGGATGAGATGTTTGTAAGCTCCAGCATTTCCCTGGCTGGGGAGCACTGTGCCTCCCCCCGTGACCACGGGGGGTTCTGAGAACAAGGGAAGAAGCCATGGAGCTCTAGACTGATTATAGTAAGTAGTCTAATCAGTCATTATGAAGAGTTACAAACAGGGCAATCTTGGGTTTGGGGTGGCAGCCAGACAGTTCAGTGGATCCCCGCAAAACCCCCCAGATTTCCGTGGTAATGATAGAAAACAGACAAGGACCGGAGGGGCTAGCGAGTGCATGACTAATGATTGCAAATAGTCTTGGTCTTTTGCTTCGGAATGAGCTTGAGAGTCAAGCCAACGTTGTGCCCAGATACAAGTTTGTTATTGATCACGCACCTGTCACAAACGGTTCCTGACGTTCTCCTTGTGCTTTTCATAGGTCACAGAATCTTAAGGTGTGACTCAGTGTCTAAAATAGAATTCAGGATCTAAGTTATGATTCTAAACTGGTCACCGTGTTTGGGCTTCCGCCTTGCACAGAGTTTAAGTTTTTATGACTTTTCACTTATTACTTTATTTTATGGCTTTTCTCCAATCAGGACCCCACAATATTGATCTCCACCTAGTCTCTGCTAGACAGCTTTCCAAGTTTCCCAACAGTTTTTGTTGACTACTGAGTTTCCCTCACAGTTACTGGGTCCTGAGTGATGTTTCAGTGTGTGGGTACCACTTCCTTGTGGAAACCGAGCATAATGTGGCAAAAAGATTTCTGAGGTAGATGGTAAGAGACTCAGCTAGGCGATGGGGTTGTCTTTGCAGCTAAGTAGAGAAATAACCTTGGCCACTTCTTTTAATCTGCTTGGCCCTCATTGTCTTCTGGAAATTTCTGCCCTCCTGGAAGATGAGGAGTTGGAGTAGAACATCACTCATGTCTCTTTCATTCCTAACATTTTATTTTCTGTGTGCTGTATGGCTTCTGTAAGAATCAACCAGAGACTGTTCAAGAAGTGGGGCTATTAAGAAAATGAAATGAAGAAAGAATCTGTCTTCAAGGAGCTTACAGTATCCTCATGGGGATAATACCTATAGGATTTTCACAGAATTTTCTTTGGATCTATTCACCAGTCACTACTGTCTGTCTTCTACGCTCACAGTTGGCTCCTGTTTTCAATCATGCAGGGCCTTCTTGCTCATTGAAATTCCACTTTGATACGTGAATGGAGTCAAGAACCACGGCCCTTTGTCAACAACAGGACAATCTCCTCTCAGAATATGAGGCTAGACTGGCTGTTCACGCTTCCTGAATATAATTTCCATCTGTCTTAGAACTTTTGCCTTACCAGCATTTTCAAGAAAGCCTCTATAAATGTGCTCCTGCTGGGATCAGATTTCAGCATCCTAGATACATCTTTTCATGTCAGGAGATAAGAGAAACTGCAGAGTTTGTAACTGAATGGGAACCTCAAATGGAAAAATTGGAGAAGAAAAAGTAGAAAATGGTCTTTGTGCTGAAGAAGATGCCTATAGAGGGGAACTCAGAAAAATCCCATCCAGAGAGCAAGAACACTAGTGCTTAAGTGAGGTAGTTTGAATTTAAAAAAGAAAATGACTTTGGCAGGTGAGTGGAGGATGAACTGGTCTGAGGAGAAGCTGGAGGCTGGGAGACCAACAAGCAGGCTCTGGTAAAACTCCAGGATGAGGTGACTAGAGCCTGCACCAGGGGGAGGGCTGGGACACAGGACTGAGGGGACGTGTGCAGGCAAGAGATTGTGTAAAAAGAGAAATCACTCAACTTGGCAGCTGACCTCACATGTGGGCAGAGAGAGGGAGGGAACATTCAAAGGGAACAATGACGCTGTCAGCCTGGGTAACCTGGAGGCCGTGGTAGTAGCCTCCACAGGAATAGCCAGGTTCAGAAACAGAGTTTGAGGGAAGATACTGAATTATCCTGGGATATAGTGAGTTGGAAATGCCTATGGGAAATTCTGCTTAAAAACTTCTGTTTATTTGTTGTAGATTCAGAAGTGGAGCCCATGGTATGGGATGAAACCCCCAAGTGAGAGAGCTTGAAGAGATGAGAGAGTAGTCTTGGAGAAGCCTCTGAGACGGAGGTGTGCCGTGGATGCTGACCCAGCAAAGGAGGCAGAGAAGGGAGGAGTGGTCACACAGGAAGGAGGAAGGGACCCAGAGGGAGCACAGTCATGAAACTGTCAGGGAGGAGAGGCTAAGGCCTGAGAAGAGGCCACTGGATTGGGACATTCGGGAAGGGAGTTAGCAGACACCACTGGGAAGATCACAGAGTCTCCCAGGAGATGCCACTTTGAAGACCTCCCTGAGCTGCTGAGTCCAGTGAAGTAAACCAGCATTTATTAAGTGCCTACTGTGTGCCAAGCACTGTTAAAACACAGAGGATATAAGGAAAGGGAAAACCCAGGCACTATCCTGAAGGAGCTCACAGTGTCTAAGGTGGGGGACAACCTACAAAAGGCACTGTGCAAATGAGATAGTGAAAGCAAAGGTCCATTGGGTGGTAGTGAGGGCACTGGCATTAAGGGGACTGGGAAAAGCTCCTTACAGAAGGGGTGACTGGAGCAGGGCCCGAAGGAAGCCAGGGACCCTCGACAGCTGGCTCCTACAGCTCCCTACAGATCTAGTGTGCACCTGTTCATCCCCTTGAAATAAGTCCACGTGTCTTTCTGGGTCTCTCTGTGCTTCCCCCAGGGCCTGGCAAGCAGGAAGGGCTCAATCCACTGTGATCTGTTGATGGAATGGCTTCTTGCCCTCTGATGACAGACAGTACTGGAGAAATGACCTGTCTACACCATGATCTGAGATACCACTTCAGGAAAGAGGACAATTCTACTTACCTGGGGAAGCCTGGAGGTGAGGAATATGGGGAGAATCCAGCTGTAGGGTCGTCCTTGACTCCACCAAATCCCTGGCCAAGTCTCCTCCTTTCTGTCTCCAGACATCTTCCCATGGGTGCCCTTCCCTTCCACCACCTTCTTACTCTCTCACCTGAACTTTATAAACGGCCTCCTCCTATCTGGGTCTCCTGCCTCAAGCCTCTCCCCACTCCAGCCCTTCCTGCACAAGTCACTAAAGTGACTTTCCTATACCACAGGTCTGACTGTCACCCCCACTGCCCTTCAGTAAAGTGTAGTGGCTCCCTATTCCTTCTAGGATCAAATACAAAGTCCTTCCTTTGGCATTTAACACTCTGCACAAACCTCAGCTCTCAGGGAATTGGCGTGAGGGTCATCCTTGTGACCCTGGACAAGTCACTTAACTCATCTGATGCTGGTTTACTCATCTGCAAAACGAGGGGGCTGGTCCCAGTGGCCTCCCTTCCATATCTAAGTCTATGACTCCACAGTAACAGGGGGACAAGCCAATGACAGCCCCTTCCTTCTGGCCATACAAAGATGGACTAAAACAAGATCATTTCAGCAAAGAAAGTGAGGACACAAAATATCAAAACTTTAAAGACCAAAACAGCTGTACTGACCTAGACAACCACAAACTACCATCATCTATGTTTTATTGTGGTTTTATTTTTTAAAAATATTCCCCAATTTCATTTTAATCCAGATCAGCCCACCAGAGTGTTCTGCTTCAGTGATTAAGTTAATGAGGTTTCTCTCCATCATGAGTTCTATGTGCTCTGATCTGGGGGAAACCTTCCTGCATTAATCACATTCTTAAGATTTCTCTCTGGTATGTATTCTCTTATGTAATGAAAGGTGTGAATTCTGGGTGAAGGCCTTTCCACATGCATTACATCCATAGGGTTTCTCTCCAGTGTGAGTTCTCTGATGTCGAGTCAGTGTTGCGCTCCAGAAAAAGGCTTTCCCACAGTCACTGCACTTAAAAGGTTTCTCTCCAGTATGAATTTGCCAGTGTTGTGTAAGATCTGACTTCTCAGAGAAGGCCTTCCCACAATCACTGCACTGATGAGGCTTTATTCCTGTATGACCTCTCTGGTGTCGAGTCAGTGCCGTATTCCAGATAAAGCCTTTCCCACACTCACTGCATTTAAATGGTTTCTCTCCAGTATGAATGCTGAAGTGTTGTATAAGATCTGACTTCTGGCGGAAGAAGTTTCCACATTCCGTGCATTCATATGGTTTCTCTCCAGTATGAATACTACTGTGCTTGGTAAGGTCAGACTTCTGAGAGAATGCCTTCCCACACACACTGCACTGATGAGGTCTTATTCCTGTATGCGTTTTGTGGTGCTTAGAAAGGGTAGAGCTTTGTAGGAATTTCTTTCCGCATTCATTACATTCATAGGGTCTCTCTCCAGTGTGAATTCTCTGATGTCGAGTCAGTGTTGTGCTCAGGGGAAAGGCTTTCCCACAATCACTACATTTAAAAGGTTTTTCTCCAGTATGAATTGTGTAATGTCTTGTAAGATCTGTCCTGTGGTGGAAGGCCTTTCCACAGTCACTGCATTGGAAGGGTCTTTGTCCCGTATGAATTCTGTAGTGCTGTGTAAGATTTCTCTTCTGCCAGAAGACCTTTCCACATTCACCGCATTTATAAGATTTGTCTGGATTCCTGATAGAGGCCTGTTGAGAACCATCTGCCTTCTGACAGGATGTCTTCCCACATTTAGTCAACCCAGAACACTTTTTTCCTGGATGAGTTCGCTGGGGTAAAGCGAGTTGATTATTTGGGAGGAAAGAATTCCCACTTTCACAGAGTTGCTCTTCAGCATGAATTCCATGTTTCTGAATTTGGTTCAAATCATAACCAAAAGTTTTCTGACATTTGTTAATCTCAGAATATTTCTTCTGTGAATGGATTTGATTACTTTGTCTTTGGTCTGACTCCAAGCTCCTTCTCTTATGGAGATCCATTACTACAGATACTCCGTGATATGGCTCTGGGCTCACGGTTTGGTGATATTTACTGTTTTCAGAGCCTCTGACTACATCAGCAGTTTCTGATTGGATTATTTTTCCTTGCCTAGAAAGTTTTGCCTCGTTGTTCTGCTCTTTCTTTAACCTGCCACAATACTCCCAGGCTTTTCTCATCTTGGAGATGCATGGGTCATCCCACAAGGGCTTTTGCTGGGATAAGGCTTCCATAGAAATACTCAACTTTGGAGCTGTCTCCTTGGTCTGAGGTCTCCTGTCCCCATCTAAAGGAAAGAAAAAGTGTAAATGTCCTTTTCCTTGTATGAATAAGCTTTTCTGTACACTTCACTTTCCCCATTATTCTATCTCTTATAAGCAATGTACATATTTTTTCATTTGAACTGAAATCAATTCTTATGGCTTCTAAGATTTCTTTAAATTCACCAGGCTTATCCTTTCATTCAGCCCAATGATGTCATGTTTGGTGAATATGCCAAAGGGGCTACAGATGATCCACAATTAATGGAAATATGGACAACTTCTGGCTCTGATATGCCAGTGTAAACAAAGTACCTTATGGTATTTTTTTTTCAGGAAAATTCATCTGAATATGATATCTAGGAGTGTCATGAGAGTGTGATCATTGGGTCTAAGAAGAGGAAGCTATATGGAGTTCCCACACCGCAGAATTCCACTTTGCTTTCCAAAAAGATAAGAACAATTCAATGTCCTATCTACACTGGAGCAGTGCTCCTGAATTCTGAAAGCACCAACAGCATCCCACCTATCTAGCCATACCAATTCACTTTGGCAAAAGCATTCACACAAACTAGAGGAGTGGGGAGAAATTAACTGTAAGATCTATGGCTGGTAAAAGACAGCAGGACCAAAAAAGTCATCGAGAGTATCATGAATGTGCCCATTGTCAGGAGGTGCACAGGTGAATGATCAGTTAAGCACTGGACATTCACTCACACACTCACCTGGCCAGCAGCTTGTTAGGACACTATCCACTGGAATCCCCTGTGCTTCCCCTGACTCCAGCTGAGAGATCATGTTCACATTGGAATCTGCAAGGCCTAGTGAAGGGAAATGGCACAGTGATGGACAGGTATGGTCACCTCACAGCCCATGCCTCATGGACAGCTGGGAGACAGTGAGGAAGGGCCAGGGAGTCTGGGGACTGTGGAAGAGCATATAGAAAACATCTGAAGGGTGATCTGGTTTCTTTTCCTGGGAAGATACAGCAATGGGACAAAGAATGGAGTTGGGTTCAGAGAGACAATGAGTTCATTTGACCCATTCAATGCTGAGGCATCTGGGAGCTTTCTTGACTTCAGTATCTGCCCTGGGACTTGAGAAAGCCTCCCTGGCCTGAAGAGAGAGAGCTGGAGCAGGCTCACACAATGAAGCAGACAGTTTCCAGCCATACAAAGCAAGAGCCCTTCAGCTGGGACCAGGCAGAGCACAAGAACCCTGTCTCTTGGCCTCACTGCAAGTAACAAATGCTTGGTTTTCTTACAGGCCAAAGCAACAGTGCTGAACAGTGGACCCAGCCCCAGCAGAAGGAAGCAAACAACCTTTTGGGGCAGATCCCAAGTCCCCAGAAGAGCCTCCTTACCCAGGCTGACCAGGTTCCTGTAGTTCTCCAGCATCACCTCCCAGTAAAGCTCCTTCTGGGAAGTGTCCAGGTAGCCCCACTCCTCCCAGGTGAAGTCCACAGCCACATCCTTGAAGGTCACTGATTCCTGAAACAAATCAATCTGTGCCTGTCCAGGGACCACAACCCACATGGATGTGGGAAGGGGAGTGAAGGGGGACAGGAATCAGAAGGACTGATTCTTAGTATATTCAGGTTGCAGAGTGTTCAAAGGAAAATCACAAGGAGCATTTATTATGCCTCAGGTTCTGAATCATGTAATACAAGAACACTCATTGTCAAGCCCATAAGCACTTGATGGAGTGTCTGCCCTGTGTCAGGCTCTGTGCTGAGCCCTGGGGATACAAATGAGGGCAAAAGCAGTCCCTGCCCTCAAGGAGCTCACAGTCTAATGGGGAGACAGCAGGCACAGAAACAGTCCTGAGGGTTCAGCAAGGCCCCAGCAGCTGAGGAGACCAGGCGTGGGTTCCTATAAAAGTCAGGGCTTGAGGTGAACATGGACGGATTAAGTCAGTGCCTCCAAGAGGGGCAAGGTGAGGGGAGAAAAGCATTCCAGGCAGGGAGGGAAGCAGAGGCAGAGGAGATGGGGGTCACGTGTGAGGAACAGAAAACAGGCCAGGCTGGCTGGGCCACAGGAAGCAGGGAGGACTTTAACATGCTAAGACACAGGAAGGTAGAAGGGCTCAGTTTGTGCAGAGCATTAAATGCCAAATGGGGGGTTTTATCTGACCCTGGCACAGAGCTCGATTCACTGTGGTCTGGGGACTGAATCTGCCCAGGTGCTCTGAGGACAGAGAGCACTGAGAAAGGACCTGTCTACACTGTGACCTGAGACACCTGTCAGGGAGGAGGACGATAATGCTTACCTGGGGGAGCCTGCCGGTGAGGAACTCGGGGCCCATTCTGGCTCCTTGCTGCTCCCCGCTCTGTCCCACACCCAGGCCCCTGGGGTCTCAGGAGGCAGAGCTAGAAAGTAAAAGGCAGCCATGAGTGGGGTGGGCCCTTCCCCTCCACCCCGACCTGCCTGCGTCTGCCTGGGAAATGCCCACAGTGACCCCGGGGGCGGCCTGTCTGTGTCCAGGACTCGGGTCAACTCAACGTGCATTGGTGAGGCGCCCACTGTATGCCTCGCTGCATTCTAGGTGCTGGAGATGCCAAGGAGACAGAAAAGCCCAGACTGTGTCCCTCCCCCCGAGAAATGCCAGGTCACGTGAGGGCGAGGGGGCGGTGACAGCTGGGGGCGGGGCCTGGGGAGGTGAGGCCTGAGGGTACAAAATGAAGAACTAGAGGGGAGCAGGAGCGTGGGGTAGGGGAGCGTGAAGCCGAATAAAGAAGGGAGGCCTGCTGACAGATAGAGGAGTGTGGGGGGCCAAGGGCCTTCGTGTCAGGGCGGGGGATTTGGGGAACAGAGGGGGAGATGGGGGAGGGGAGGGGGAAAGAGAGGAAGGAGGGGGCGGGGCGGTCCCTCGTCACTGACCAGGAGCCTTCGCCCCATTTCAGCGACAAACTAACTGAGGCAAAGAGAGGGGAAGGGGCGGGGGTCCCTGGTGCCCGTCCCCCACCATGGCCTTCCCTCTCCGGACCCAGGACAGACGCTGCCGACCCCCCAGGACCAAGAACCTCGCCGCTTCTCCAAGGATATGAAACTGATCAGGAAGAATCGGCAACTTCCGCGTCTTCGCAGCTTGTCCCTCAGCCAGGGACACGCGCATTGGCTAGGTCCTGGGGGCAGGAACTTTCCGGGCTCCGCCCCTGCTTCTTGGTTGGGTGGAATTCGGACTTGGGGTACTCCCTCCTTCCCACCGCCTTAGAGGCGCTGGGAACTTTGAACCAATCGGAGGCGCCGCCGCTGCCGAGGCCCCCGCCCTGGAGCTGGTTCTGGGGCGCCCAGGGTACCCTCACCGCACCGCGCCTTTGGCTTTGTGGGTGCTTCCTTCAGGAGCACCCTCTTCCCAGCTCTGCCTCCCCACGAGAGGCCCCTGCCTTCCCCAAGGGGTACGGGGGAGACAGCAGAGCAAGAAATGACCCCCGACCTCCCCTGACTGCCCTCCCCCCAGGTGGATGGAACCCTAGTCTGTCATTCCCAGAAGAGTTGCTGGTCATTGGATTGGTTTGCTAAGGTCTGTACTTGCCCTGTGTCCTTGGACCTTCACCACAGCCATTGTACAGAGGGGAAACTGAGGCACATTTGTTGCAGCGTTTGGGGCTAGACTTGAATCCACATCCCACACTCCCCCCTGCTGCCCCCATGCCCATCCTCAGCCTGTTGACTTTGATGCCATCCCTACTAAGGGTTCCCACCTTGTCTCCCAGGATTCGCAGCCTGATCACAACATTCAAGGCTCCTGCCTGCTCAAGTCAGACTTGGTGCTGGGCGGATTTCAGGGGCCATATGTTCCCATGGTCAGTCTTGGGGTCCTTTTTTCCAGCTTTAAACTCTGCAAACAGGTAAAGATGACAAGAATTGTCATAGTATTGGAGGGGTTGTGGGATGGTAAGCACGCCAATATGGGGAGCTGTGAAGTGGTATGACCGTTTTAGAAAGCAGTTTGGATTTCCTCCACCACAGTCCCCAGACTGCCTGGCCCTTCCTCACTGTCTCCCAGCTGTCCATGAGGCATGGGCTGTGAGGTGACCATACTTGTCCATCACTGTGCCATTTCCCTTGACTAGGCCTTGCAGATTCCAATGTGGACATGATGTCTCAGCTAGAGTCAGGGGAAGCACATGGGATTCCATTATATAGCGTCCTAAGAAGCTGCTGGCCAGGTGAATGTGTGAATGAATGTCCAGTGCTCAGCTAATCATTCACCTGTGCACCCCCTGAAAATGGGCATGTTTGTGATGCCCTCCATGACTTCTTTGGTCCTGCTGTCTTTTCCCAGCCATAGATCTTGCAGTTAATTTCTCCCCACTCCTCTAGTTTGTGTGGATGCTTTTGCCTTTTATACCAAAGTGAATTGGTATGGCTAGATAGATGGGATGCTGTTGGTGCTTTCAGAATGCAGGAATGCTGCTCCAATGTAGATGGGACATTGAATTATAAGCAAAGTGGAATTCTGTGGTGTAGGAACTCCATATAACTTCCTCTTCATAGAGCCAGTGATCTCACTCTCATGATTCTCCTAGGGGTGATATTCATATGAAGAATTTTCTCAAAAAATACTTGAAGCTATTTTGTTCATATTGGTGTATGGAAGCCAGTAATTGTTCATTTTCCATTAATTGTGGATCATCTGCAGCAGTTCTGACGTATTCACCTAATATTATTGGGCTAAATGAAAGGATAAGCCTGGTGAATTCAAATTAATTTTAGAAACCTTAAGAACTGATTTTAATTCAAGTGAAAAAATACATACATTGTTTATAACAGATAGAATATTGGGGAAAGTGAAGTATGCAGAAATGCTTATTCCTCCAAGGAAAAGGACATTTACACTTTTTCTTTCCTTCAGATGAGGACACCAGGCCTCAGACTAAGGAGTCGGCTCCAGAGTTGAGTTTTTCTATGGAAGCCTTATCCTGTCCAAAGCCCTTGTGGGATGACCCATGCATCTCCAAGATGGGGAAAGCCTGGGAGTATTGTGGCAGGTTAAAGAAAGAATAGAGGAATGAGGAGAAACATTCTAGAGAAGGAAAAGTAATCCAAACAGAAACTGCTGATGCGGTCAGAGGCTCTGAATACAGTAGATACTGCCAAACCATTAGTCCAGAGCCAGTCCTTTTTCAAATCCTTTTTTTTTTGTTTTAGACTTTAATACTAAAACTTAAATACACAATGAAAAAAGAAAAAGAAACATATTATAAACTGAAGTATTAAAACTTAAATACAAAATAAGGAAAGAAAAATACATGTCATGTGCAAAGCAGAAAGGATTCAACATATAAGGCAATAAACTGCCATTTCAAGAAAGCCTATGTAGTAAATACTAGGCATTGTGTTCAGAGCTGTCCAGCTTTTCTCTGCTTCCTTGTAAGTTTTCTTTTGTTCTTCCTGTGCTATGCCTAGTATTTACTACACAGGCTTTCTTATTGTGTGTGTGTGTATATATATATAACATATATATATGTATATAGAAATTTACTTTCCCTAACAATTCTACTTCTAATTTTTATTTTTATATATGTGGGTATCTCTTATTTCCTGTCCCTACTGACTCCTCCACTTTACTGCTACGTTCCACCTTGCCCTCCTATTATTTAACCTCTCCTCCCTTCCGGGATCCCCCTCTTATCCTCCGTACCCCTCTTTGGCCTACTCCTTCACCCTCCCCTCTAGAGATCCTTCCCCTATCCTCTACCCCCTCCCTATCCCCTTAGCCTTTTATTTCTTTCTAAGTTTAGAAGACTTTTATACTCTTCTAGGTATATATGTATTGTTCCCTCTTAAACCCATTTCCAATGAAAGTAAGTTTCCAGAACTATCAGCCCTCCTCCCCCATCTAATTACTCTGTGTTGGTCCTTCCTCTTACACCTCATTAGTATAATTACTCTTTTTACCTTTTCCCAGTCATATCATACCCAGATCTACCCCGATCTTTCTTAGGAACTACCCAATTGCTAATAACAATCTTAGACATATGTTTTACATTTTATATACATAAAAGGCAAACAGTCTGTCCCTACTGAGTCCCTTGTATTTATTTAGTCTTTGATATGTACCTTATAGTTCTCTTGGCTCTTATATGTCAAATCTTCCATTAAGTTCAGGGTTGTTTGTTTTTTTTTAAACACAGTTCTGAAAGTGTGACAATTCATTAAATGTTCATTTTTTTTTTCATTCAGGATTATGCATTGCTTTGCTAGGTGCGATATTTTCAGCTGGATTCCCAGTTCTTTCGCTCCTTGATATACAGTGTTCCAAGACCTATGGTCTTTTCGTGTTACCACTGCTAAGTCTTATGTGATTCTAATTGTGGCATCACCATATTAAATTGTCTTTTCTTGTTCCTCATAATGTTTTATCCTTGACCTGGGCATTTTGGAATTTGCCTGTAACATTTCTGTGCGTTTTCCTCATAAGAACTCTTTCAGGTGGTGATAGGTGGATTTTTTCTATTTCTACTTTTCCCTCTTATTCTAATACTTCAGGGTAATCTTATTTAATTATTTCTTGTATTATTGTATCAAGATTCTTTTTTTGATCATAGCTTTCAGGCAGTCTGATTATTCTTATGTTTTCTCTTCTTGATCTTTTCTCCACATAAATCATATAACAGTCACCCTTTTTGCCCAGAGAAGATCTGAAACTATTGTGAATATGTGGAGAGCCAATCTACAGCCACAGAGTTCCTAACAGAGACTCTCCCTTGGTGGAAAATTTGTTCCACTTGGGCCCAATAGAATAAGGGGAAGGTTCTGATAAGGATTTGTGGGAGATGGGGGAACTCTGATCTCCACATCTCACCATCTGTCTCTTTTGGTAATGGCAAACTGAGGCAAATCTCCTCAAGATAATGAACTCCTTGCGCTGATCTGTGGTAGAGCCTTCGCAACTCTTATTTGGCCACAGCCAAACACACTATACTGTCATCCCAATGTCATGATGTCATTGGTCCTCTTTGAAAATGAAGGAGAAATAAGAAGAATGTGAAGTTGGGTACAGCTGACAGAATGCGTCATTTCTGACAGAAAAACATCAGAATTCACTGGTGATTTCTGTCCAGCCCCACCAGCAGCGACCTCCCACATCTATTCCAAATCCTTGATCACAGGGTTCCTGTTATGCACATATGTTCTGCTCATACTGTTACATTATCTTTCCTTATTTGGACCATTAAAAATTAGCATATGAAACAAGTAAGAGACGTTGCAGTATACCAATCAGTTTATAATTTGTGCTGGAGCTTGATGAAAATTAATGCAAAGCACAATAAAATGTAATGTCTTCCCTTCAGTATGAATTCTGTGATAAGATTGAAAAGATGATGCATGGGGGACACCTAGGGGACCTAGCAGACAGTGCACTGGCTCTGGAGTCAGGAGGACCTGAGTTCAAATCCGGCCTCAGATACTTGACACTTACTAGCTGTGTGACCCTGGGCAAGTCACTTAATCCCACTGCCTAGCCAAAAAAATAATTATGCATGTTCTTGATTTGCCTTCCACACGCATTACATCCACACTCCTTTGTAGTGTGAATTCTCTTAAGTATTTGACATCTGAGCAGTTATGGAAGGGCTTCCCTCTATATTCATAAGGTTTCTCTCAAATATGGATTCCCTGTTGTTCTCTGGTTTCTTTCCCATATGAATTCTCTGATGATTAGTCAGACTTGACCTTGAGTGGAAGGCCTTCCCACATCGATTACATACATAAGGCTTCTCTTCAGTATGAAATCTCTCATATTTTCTCAGGCTGGAGCTTATTATACTGAAGCCCTTCCCTCAGGCCTTTACATTTATAAAGTTTCTCTCCTAAATGCATTAGCTGATATTCAGTTCAGTTTGACTTTGTGAGGAAAGTCTTCCCAAATCCCATTGTATCCATAAAGTTTCTCTGCATCATAAATTATTTCGTGTCATCCCAAGTTTGAATATTTGAAGGCTTCCCCACCATCCTTACATCTTTGAGGCTTCTCTCCTGTATGAATTCAGTGATCCTGCAAGTGTGACCTTCCAGGATTCCATTAGTATGAATGTTCTGAAGGCACTGAGTGTAATGCCTTCCTACAGGCCATACATTTGTAAGGTTTATGCCTTGTAAGAATTCTCTGATGGGAAATAAGATGATCTGTGCTTGAAGGCTTTCCTACACTCATTACATCCCTAAGATTGGTCTCCAGTATTTCATGTATTTAGGACTCAGCAACAAGCCAAGGCCTTCCTATCCTTTCCTGAAGCTACTCTCTGCTGCAGACCAGGGGGTTGCCATAATCATTCCATTCATGGGCCTGCCTTCCCTTTTTACTCTGGGTGATTTTTATTTGTGGAGAACATCTCTCCTCATTGTTTTGCTGCTTCACCAATCTGTAATCACATTTTCCCAGCACAGAGACACCAGGAACATGTCTTTCCTTTGATAATTCTTTCAGAGAAATGCTCAGATTTGGAGTGGAGTTCTTGGTTTCAGGCCTGGTCTCCTGATCTATAAGAGAATAAAAGGGGACATAAGCCTTTCCCTCTGCTGTAAACTTAGACTTCTCTCCTTGTTACCTTCACCAACAAAAATGGTCATCAGTCTTTGAGATCAAGCAAATTAGTATGATCATCTGATAGCTGTATAGTTACTGCTAATTTACAGAAACCTTTCACCTTGTAAGACGTATGGGCCAGTTACATTTTCCCAAATGAGGGAACTGAATGGTCAAAGTGAAAGCCGCTGCAAAGTCATTGTGTCCAAACTCACTGCTCTTTTGACTACTGCGACACTGCTTCTCCATGAAACACATTCAGCTCGTTCAAAGAAGTTGCAAAACACAGGATGAGGAACAACATCTAGAAATGATAGTGAGGCAGCGTTCAGCTCGACAGGGAAAACATATTTTGACCAAAAAAAAAAAGGAAGTCTTACAACATCAAATAACGTTAAGGCTGAAAGAGACCTTTATACTAATCTAGTCTATATCTCCACAGTCATCTGATTTAGATCTTCTTAACAAGCTAGTCTAGACCTTCATGACAATCTAGTCTAAACCACTCCTCCACATCTTTATACATTACTTCCATTTGCCTTGGGGGCACCCCAATGCTCAGTCCTGAGCTCTCTTCTCTTCTTCCTTTGTATTGCCTCACGTGCTGATTTTATCAGCTCTCCAAATTCAGTTATCATCTCTATGCCAATAATTGTCAGATCTATCTATAGTGAGGCCTGTCCCCCCACATAGAATGGAAATGTCATTATATAGCTTGAAGAGAGGTAGAACAGACATCTATAGCCTCTTCTCCCACTACCTTCTCTAAGGGAGGCTTTAATATCTGCCAGAAGGGGAAGCAGGAGGTTTGGGCCAGATGCTTGGTCACTCTGCTCTTCTCAGACAGAAGGGATACCAGCCTAGAATTCTATCTATGGTCCCTTAAATGTTGTTAGTCTAAAGAGTATAGTTTTCATGTTCAATATAACTTTTCATCACTGTTTCATTAGTGGGGGAAGTAGGACCCCAAGCTTTATATCCAAAGCTTGACACCCTTTCCATAAAACACCAGTTCCCCAGTGAACACATAGCAACTAGCAAAGAAACCTATTTATCCAAGTCCATAACAAACAGAAATCAGAGAAAACACACATAGAATACACACAGTGAAGGAATTCTCCCATTGGGAGAGTGAGAAGGAGGAAAGGAGGGGAGGGGAGGAGGGGGGGAGAGAGGGAGAGAGGAGAGAGAGAGAAGAGAGGGAGAGAGAGAGAAGAGAGAGGAAGAGGGAGGAGAGAGAGAAGAGAGAGGGGAGAGAGAGAGAGAGAGAGAGAAGAGAGGAGAGAGAGAGGAGAGAGAGAGAGAAGAAGAGAGAGGGAGAGAGAGAGAGAGAGAGAGAGAGAGAGGGAGAGAGAGAGAGAGAGAGAAGAGAGAGAGAGAGAAGAGGAAGAGAGAGAGAGGGAGAGAGAGAGAGAGAGAGGGAGAGAGGGAGAGGAGAGAGAGAAGAGAGAGAGAGGAAGAGAGAGGAGAGAGAGAGGAGAGGAGAGAGGGAGAGAGAGAGGGAGAGAGAGAGAGAGAGAGAGAGGGAGAGAGAGAGAGGGAGAGAGAGAGAGAGAGAGAGGGAGAGAGAGAGAGAGAGAGAGAGAGAGAGAGAGAGAGAGAGAGAAGAGAGAGGGAGAGAGAGAGAGAGAGAGAGAGAGGGAGAGAGAGAGAGAGAGAAGCTCTCCAAAGTGTCTAGTAACAGCAAGCTGGCATAGGGATATGGTAAAGACTGTTCCTTTCATGTTGGTTTCTTCCCAGAGTCTTTTTGCAACCTGAAGTGGGTTGGCATCTTCCATTTTCTCTCTTGAAGCTGGAAGCCAGAAGAGCCCAAAGCCTAAAAAGACTGAAGATAGTCTGAAGAGACCTCTTGACCATGAAAAGGTAAACAAACCCCTCCTCTCTTCTCTTCTGCTCTCACCAACTCCTCCACAACTCTCCCACAGGTGCAGGGCACTGAGCTCCATCAATCCCATACCAATGAGCTTTAGGATGTGTGTGTGTGTGTGTGTGTGTGTGTGTGTGTGTGTGTGTGTGTGTGTGTGTGTGTGTGTCCCCCTAGTACAGGAGTGAGGAACTTTCGGCCTTGGGGCCACATGTGGCCTTCCAGGTCCTTGGGTGCAGCCTTTTGACTGAGTCCAAGTTTTACAGAACAAATCTTTTTACTAAGGGGATTAGGTCTGTCAAGTTTGGATTCAAAGGGCCACACTTGAGGCCCTAGAGGGCCACATGTGGCCTTGAGACTGCAGGTTCCCCACCCCTGCACCTAGTCCCTCTTCTGAGGTAGTTTCACATCACCAGATGCCTTTTGGATAGCTTGAACTGAATGTTATATGAGCATCTGAAACATGCTCAAACCCTCTCCTCTACTGAACTGCCCTATTCCTGTTTATAGCACCACCATCCTGCCAGCCAATCAGTCAATAAGTATTCACTGAACACACACTCTGTGCCAGGCACCATGCAAAGTGGTAAGGATAGTGAAGCAAGAGTCCTTGCCCTCAAAGAGCTCACAATGTAATGAGGAAGACAACAGGCACACAGGACAGAAAGGAAATAAGGAACAGCAGGAAGAGGCTAAAATGAAGAATGGGAAAAGGCTTCCCACAGAAGATGGCATTTTATTTGGAGCTCGAATGAAGCCAGGGAAGCCAGGCGGCAAAGCTGAAGGCACGGGTAATAGTAGCATAAGTAGGAAGACAGCAAGAGCTAAGAGATGGAGTGTCTTTTCTTATGGGATAGCAAGGAGGTCAGTGTCATTGGTGCAAACAGTATGTGGTGGAAAGAAGCTGGAAAGGTGGTGTGGTTAGCTTATGAAGGGGTTTAAATGTTGAAGTGATAGGGAACCACCAGATTTTACTGAGTAGGGGAGTGAAATGGTTGAACCTGCACTTTAGGAAAATCACTTTGGCATCTGCATGAAGGCTGGATTGGAGTGGGCAGAGGCTTGTGGCAGGCACTCACCAACACACTACTGCAGTGGTCCAAGCACAAGGTAATGAGGACTCCTACCATGGTAGAGGCAGCATCAGGGCAGAGAAGGCGGGGGGGGTGGGGGTGGGTGTTTCCCAAGGTGAAATGGACTGAGAGGCAACAGATTAGATATGGGAGCTGCAACCTTGGCATCATTCTCCACTCATTCACATTCACCTCAGTTATCCAGTCCATGGCCAAATCTTGTTGCTACTTTCATAATGTAACTCACGTACATCTCTTTCTCTTCTTTATAGAGTACCACCATAACTCAAGCCTTCACCATCTGGACTATGACAATAGCCTCATCGGTCTCCCTGCCTCAAGCATTTCCCTCTTCCAATCTGTTCTCTGCTCAGCTGCCAAGCAGATTTTTCTAAAATGTGTTCCTGGCAATACTGCCCACTGCTCAATGAGTTCTAATAGCAAATTATTGTCTCCAGAATCAAATATAAGTTCTCTAGCATGGTCTTCAAAACCTAATTTCTCCCTACCTCTGAGGCCTTCTTACACTTTAATCCCCTCCATATACTCTATAATCTAGCTACACTGGCCTCCTCAATGTTCTTGCACACAAAATTTCATCTATGCCTTTATACGAGCTCCCCCAAAGCTGGGAATGCTCTGTCCCCTCCCTCACCTCCACTTTCTAATTTCCCTGGCTTCTTGTTAGACTCAGATCAAATCCATCTTCTGCAGGAACCTTTCCTGGTTCCCCCCGGGGGCTAGTGCATCCCTCTCTTAGATTGCTTTTCATAGATTCTGTTATCTTGTATGTACCTAATTATTCATATATTACAAATTACATATGATATTATAAAATGTAATATTTACATATCACAAGTGTAATTATTTTCATATTGCCCCACCAGATCATGAGCTCCTTGAGGGCAGGGACTGTCTTTTGCCTCTTTTTGCATCCCCCGCTTAGCACAGTGCCAGGCACACAGTAAGTGCTTAATAAATATTGACTGATTTGTTGATAACATACCAGGCTCACTGGCTATCCTATTTTTCTTCCCCTCAGTGGGTGTGACAACCAGAGTGGGAATTGGGGAGGGGGGTGCAGGAGAGGAAGGACAGTGTCTGCTCTTGCACAGCCGAAGGGCTGGGACACTGACTGTAGGTCACGCTGCCCTTCTTTCCCAAGGAAGGCCTGCACCTCGGAGGCAGGGTCTTTCCCCATGTCTGTGCCTCCTCAGGCCTGGCACAGTGCGGGCAGCTGGCAAACGCCTGCAGACTGACAGATCAGGGAGGGGCCGCTCCTTCCCCAGCCCAGGCTGCCAGGACCATCTCTGTACATGTGCCCGCTGGGCCCGGGTGGTGCAGCGGACAGAGTCTGGGACCTGGAGGCGGGGAGGCCTGGATTCAACCTCTGATGTTTCCTAGCTGGGTGACCCTGGGCAAGTCCCTAAACTCCGTGCCTCGGTGCTCAGCAAGCCTAACACACCATGGTTGCTGGCTTCCAGAGGGGTCGAGGATGTCCCGGCAGCGCTGGGCCCGGAGTGCTGAAGACATCCCTAGTGGGGCAGGGTGAGCCCACGGGGGTATCACGGTGGGAACCCGCGAGGGGCCTCCGCACGGAGACATTGCGGAGGGGCTGGCCTGGCACTCACAGCGGCTTCGCAATCTCCCTTTGCCCACCTTGGTTGAGGCGCACCAGGCCATGTGCCCACTGGCCGCAGCGGCCCACTACGCACGCGCGCCAACCCCTTCTGAACGCGGCACTACATTTCCCAGAAGGCCTTGCCCAGGACAGCGGTGAGTACGCAACTTCCGTTTCTTCTTGGGCAGCCTATCTTCCCGGAAGTCAAGTCCTCCAGGCAGTCTTTGGACCGTGGCGAGCCAGAGCCGGAGCCAGATTCTAGCACCTTGAGGTGAAGCAGGGCCGGCCTGGCCGGAGGTTGGTCTGAATGACTCCCCGCCCAGCTTTGTTTCCGTGCTGTGGCCCCTTGCCCAGACTGAACATCCTTCCCTCTTTCCCGGTAGTTTCCGTGCTCGGGGACAGGGCAGGGCCGGCCGGCACGCTTGCGCAGTGACCGTCAGTCTGCTCCTGCCCTGGCCACGCCCCCACCGGAGCCGTCCCTATTGGGCCTTGTGAGAGGAGGCAGGGCTAACGGAACTCTAACCCAATCCGAGACTGACAGATGGGCATGGCCCTAGACTCCTCGTTCTGAGCCAATCACGGGGGCCGCTCGTGACCCGCGTTCTCCCATGTGCTGGGGGCGGGGCTCTGGAGCGTGGACCTTGATGCCCTGGGCCCTGGAGCCCAGGCCAACTCCAGGGGCAGGTGAGCGCCTGTGCCCAGGCTGGGGAACCTGCGGGGGCCAGGGCTGGTGGGTCCTCACTCCTGTTCTTCTCCATGGCTTGGCTTCACTGGCCTGGCCGTTTCCAGGCTGCCCCACTTACCAGGGGCTATGCCCCTCCTCCCTCTGCAGTGCCCCCCATGCAATGCCCGATGCCCACCTCCCTTCCTTCCAAACCAAGGGTTCTTCACCTGGAGTCCATGCATCGCCAAGGGAGTCTCAGGAGAGATGTCAGGGGGTCCTTGAACTTGGAAGGGGGGGGTTATTTCACACTAACTCCTAACTGAAATTTAGCATTTTCTTTTTTATTTGTTAACGTCATTCTTAAACGGGTGGAAGGGCTTCACCAGACTGCCACAAAAAAGGCCCAGAGCCCCAGCCCTAAACTGTCTACCCAGCTGCCACCCTAATACTCATGATCCATGAGATCTGACTGTGGCACCCCCTTGTTCAAAAAACCTTCAGTGGCTTCCCAGGATAGGGTCAATTACAAACCCCTCCTGCCGCCTTTCTGGCTCTCCACAGTCTGTCTCCTGTCTGCCCGGCCAGCCTAGTTTGTCATCCCTCTTCTCCTGAACTCTCACTTCCAGCTCAGTTGGAAGCTCCCTAAGCTCCATTTGCTTCTAACTTCTGAAGTTCACAAATTGAATCTCTACTTCTTGGAATCTCCTCCCTTCATACCTCTGCCTCTCCAAGTCTTCATCTTTCAAGGCTGTCTTCCCTGATTCCAGTTCCCTGTTGTTAGTGCTCTGTCCCTCCCTGGCCGATCTCGTCTTTGCTTGCATGTTTATGTGATGGAGACCCTAGCTGAATGTGACCAGGAGGACAGGGACTGTTCTTTGGGATATATGCCCTAGTTCCCAGAACAGTGCCTTGCCTATGCAAGACACACGTATTGTTTATCAAATGCTGAGAATGTGCATGGGTTTCCTCCGACCTCCATCTCTGCACTGTATTTGTGGTGCAAGTGACATACAGGCACACTCACACTTTCCTTTTCTCCGCAGGTCTGCCATTGAGGACTCTGCTCTTCCAGGACAGGAGGGAACATTGTGGACTAGGAGGAGGCCATGGCCCCTGTGCTCCTCTTAGCCACAGTTCCCCAGGTGAGTGGGAGTTTCCACTTTCTTCAAAAGCTGTCTCTGTCTGAAAAGTAGGTTTGTGTCCTCTAACACAGGGTTCTGTGTGATGTTCTCCATACAGAATCCTTCCCATCTGACTTGTGTCCCTCACTAATCCATTCAGGGATTCACCCATTCTGAACAGCATTTGGGCCTACTCTAGGTACAGTATCAAACTTACTTTGAGGGAGGGTGCAAAATAAGCTATACTGTCCTAGTAACCAGGATACAGAGCACACTTTTAAGAAACAATACACTTTAAAAGAAACAATTAAGTAATCTGATTTCTAATTGGAGGAAGGATTAGGGACTTTCCAAGTTGAGGGGGGGAGAGTCAACAGGTGAAATTTCCTGAAATCAGGAAAGAAGGTGTCTCACTCCCCCAGAGTATCTGTATTCAATCAAAAGAACATGGAGATAAGAACAGATTGATCAGTATGGGGCCAGTTTTCACATAAGACAAATGAGTTGCTTGAGATGTACAGTTGTGAGAAAGCTCCTTGCATCAGAATTTGGATCTGATCAGGTTTCTGGTCAGCATAACCGAGGTCCTTAGTTATGGACAGCAGGTAGAAATGGTCCAGTTTTCCAGCCCTGCAGGGCTAGGTTCAAACAATGCAATCAGATTTTCTCTTAGTTCCCACAACTGAATAAAATTTTCTCACAAGACAGAAATTGGAATAGGCCTGTAATTGAATAGAAAGGAAACTGAGTTTGCTCCAGAATTGAGTCACAAGATGGATTCAGTGGTGTTCACTCGATTCCCATAATTATCCACTTGCCGTCCTGATCCCCTCAATTCCCTCAACAGCTACTAAGTGTCTGAGGCTGGATTTGAACTTGGGAAGATGAGTCTTCCTGACTCCAGGCTCAGTAGTCCCAACGTGCCTCTTACAAATAAGGAAAATAAAGTTCAAAAGTAGAAATGGGGCACTGGGGTGGGGGTGGGGCCTAGAATGCACAGACAGCTGGGCTTGAAGTCAGAAGGGGCTAATTCCTTATGATGCCTCTAAGGGGAGCCAGAGTGGCCAGAGCATGGGGCTTGGGGTCAGGAAGACCTGACTTACTAGTTCTGTGGCCCTGGACAAGTCACTTAACCTCTGTCTGCTTCAGTTTTCTCATCTGTAAAATGGGGATAATAATAGCACCTATCCCCCAGGGTTGTTGTGAGGATCAGATGAGGTGGTAATTGTAAAATGCTTAGCACAGGGCCTGGCCCGAAGTAGGCACTGTAGAAATGTTAGCTGTCATTATTATAAATGATTTTCCTAGGATCATTGTTGTGACAGCTAGGACTCCAAGGAGTTTTTAAGGCCTGGACGAGCTAATAAATAAGGCTACAATGTTGGCCTGCACATAGTAAGGGGAGAGAGTCCCTCTGCCATACAAGCTGGGGGAGCCATGGTTACAGGGCAGTGTGCCTGAAAAAGATCAGGCCTTCTCAGTGAACGTTGAAACAAGTGTGAGTGAAGCCTGTCAGTGTCCAGAGTTGGAGAGGGGATGGTCTGGCTGGGCTTTCTGTAGCTGGTGTCGGGGGCTCAGTCTTGGGCACTGTGTTAATAAGTTGGAGGGCGTCCAAAGAAGCGTGACCAGGAGCTGTTAGTCACTAACTTGTCCAGGACCCTTTGGAATCCTGGCTCCAACCCTCAACCTCTGTGTAATGCTCAACAGACATTCGCCTTTGTGCCTTATTTTCCTCATCTGTAAGATGGAGATCACAGACCTTGCACTCCTTTCCTGTGAGGTTGTACGAGGGAAGTGCTTTGTACATCTGGGAGCGCAGTCAGGATATCTGCTGTTCTTTCTTGTCGTTGTTACTTAGCCATTTTTCAATCTTGTCTGACTCTCCGTGACCCCGATTGGGGGTTTTCTTGGCAGAGATACAGGAGGAGTTTGCCATTTCTTCTCTAGCCCATTTTACAGATGAGGACACTGAGGCAAACAGGATTAAGTGACTTGCCCAGGATCACACACCTAGTGAGTGTCTGAGCCCTGGTTTGAACTCGGGTTTTCCTGGCCCCAGGCCTAGTGCTGTATCCACTGCGCCACCCATCTGCCCCTGCTCGTCTTTACTGGCAGCACAATTGTTTTTCATCCTTCATGGCTTCAGCCTGGTGAAGGGCTTCGAGGTCTAAGACAAGAGTACTGAGGGACGCCTGGTGAGCATCTTCAGGGTTTTGAAGGACTCTCTTCTGGAGGTTAGGGGAGGTCGGCCTTGTTCTGGGCAGTCCCAGAGGACAAAACTAGGAGTGGGCGGTGTAGGTGGTCAGGAAGTGGCTTTAGGCTGGATGTCAGGAAGGGAAATGGGCTGCCTCAAGAGGCCTGGGGGTGAGGCGGAGGCGGGACCAGGTGAGGCGGGGGAGTCCTCTTTGCTGGATCAGGCTCAGTGGCCTGTTCACCTTTGAGCTTTGGGGATTCTGGGGAGAACAGAGCACAGGCCTCCTCCTGCCTCCAGTGTCTTCCTCAGAAAGTCTTCCTGTTGCCTGTCGGGTCTCTCCAGCACTCCTGATTGTGAGGGCTGTCCAGCACTTGACACTCGGGGTGGAGACCCCACAGCCTTCCTGTTGTATGTGGCCTTTTTGCCGCAGGGTCCTGCCCCTGCATTAGCACATTTGATCTTCACCACAATTTTGGGAGCCAAGTGCTCTTCTTATCCTCATGTTACAGATGAGGAAACTGAGGCTGAGTTCAGTGACTCCCTCAGTGTTCCAGGCAGGATTTGAACTAAGGCCTTCCTGGCTGCTAGGTCGGCACTATCTACTCTGTAACACTGCCTGTCCAGCTAGGTGGCTGAGTGGCTAGAGCACTGGGCCTGGAGTCAGGAGACCCCCGGAGTTCAAATCCTACCTCAGAGACTTCCTAGCTGTGGGGTTCTGGGTAAATCTCTTAACTTCCCTTTGTCTCTTTCCGGAGTTGGGGTGGTGTTTGTACTAGATGACTCTTGGTCACTTCCAGCTCTAACTCTGTGATCCAGGGATCCCCAGTGCCTTGCACATAGGAGGTGCTGAAGAAATGTTCATGCAGCTGAATTAAGTCAGGATGGGAAGGGAGTTTGGAGACAGAAATGAATTCCTATAGGACAAATGTTTCTTCTTTTGTAATTTTGCTTTGTAAAAGTTTTGCAAAGTTGTGTAAGCGTTAATAGTCATTATTACAAGACATACAGCTTTTTGGCCAAACTGAAATGTATGTCCTTTTCAGGAATGGGTGACATTCAAAGATGTGGCTGTGGATTTCACCCCGGAGGAGTGGGGGCACCTCAGTCTCTCTCAGAAAGAGCTCTATAGGGACGTGATGCTGGAGAACTTTAGGAACCTGGTGTGTCTGGGTGAGGATGCTTCCCCTGCTCGGCCCTGGGGTGGAAGAGCCTTTCCTTCCTCTTGGTGCAGGCTGGAGGACATGAAAGGATCCCATCCTCTTTGGGTCATTTGATCACGATTTAGGGCTGGAAAGGTCCTTCAGGGTCATCCAGAATGGCAGTAAAGATGTCAAATTCATTTTCTTTCTGTGACCCATTCCTCCACGCTTTTTAGAGACACAGTACAGATCATCTTCCCAAGAGTTTTCCCAAATGTCTCCTTTCTCCCAAAGATAGAGGGGGTTAGAGATGGATTTAGGGTGGAAGAGTACAATCTTTCTGTCCCAATACTTTGTATTACTTCTTGACCAAGGCATAAGATAAATCTGGGGGGAGTGCTGTTTATGGACTTCTGATGCTTGGCTAGAAAATGTGTGTGAAAGTTAATTTTGGGTGGTTAGAAGGGAAAGTCTCATTAGGAGTCACTGTAAGAAATATTTTCCTATGAGCAGGGCTTGCCATGTCCAAACCAGATGTGATCTCCCAGCTGGAGCGAGGGGAAGCACCTTGGATGCCAGAGGGAAACGGCCTGAGATGCAGGTGTGTAGGTGAGTGAGGGGCAGCGGGCAAGGCTTGGCCAGTGACAGCTCAGCCGGGCCCTCTGGGGGAATCACAGGAGGCCTTCCCACAGCTTCCAGTCGGCCTAAACAGGCCACTTAGCCCCTCTCCCACTCCTGCGTTCCTCAAGGCTCAGGAGGGGGGAGGTCTTTCTCTTCCTCCCTGATTTTGGGCTTCTCATCTTTAGCAGCCAACCAAGACCATGTTGCTGAAAGGTTTTGGAAAGAGCCCTGTAACCTGTGTGGCCCTTTGGATGTTGTGTTCTTTGCTCAGCCTCTGTGGCAAGCTCCCCACCTTCCTTTGGTTTCTTCTGAAATGGCCATTCCGCCCTTCTGACTCCCCTCCCCACTTCCCACCAAGATGATACAGACTCCCAGCTCTACCAGTTTCCCCAGCGCTGGAGCAGCATTTAAGTATGATCGTTTTTCTCTTTCTTTGTTGACCTAGTAGCTGATGGATGACTTGTGCTTCTTTGAAAAGTGTTTTGACCACTTACCTTTGAGAGATGCATCTTATTCTTATACGCTTATTTAAAATCTTTGTGAATTTTGAATGTTAGACTTCTAGCAGAAGTACTAGGGCAGAATTGTTTCCTCTCTGTTTTATTTTCCTCATTTTGGCTGAATATTTTCTCATTGTGCAAAAGTAAAAAATAACCATATCGTACATGCCCCAGAATCGTAGACCCTGAGAGGACTTCATTGGCCACTAGTCTGACGTATACATGGAGGAATCCTCACTCAAGCATCCCTGTCAGGTGGCTGTCCACACTCTACTTGGACTCCTCCAACGAGACAGGCCTCACTGCTTATGAAGGCATTGTGCTCCACTTTTGTTCAGCTGCAGGAGTTAGAAAGTTCTTCCAGACCGTGAGCCTAACTGTGCCTCTGGGCATCTCCCCCCTTTGCTCCTGGAGGCTTCTGCCCTCCAGAGTCAAACAAAATAAGCCTGAGCTCGAAGAAAGCTCTCTTGCCTCTCCTGAGTCTTCTCTCCTCCGGGCTTCATCCAGTCCTCATATGGTGTGAGTGTGAGGCCCTTCGCTGGTCTGGTTGCCCTCCTCTGGATCCTCTCCACTTTTCTGATACCCTGCTTTAAACTGTGTTCATTCTAGATCCTCTGCCTTCTCGACAGGTCTTTGTAAAGTCCAGGTTGGTTGTCTTGGAAAGTGCCTCCTCTTCCTCTCCTTAGAAATATTTCTCTTTGCGGGCTTGAGTTCCTTCTCAGGGCATTGTTTTCCCTCTTCATCTGATTCCCTAGGAGCATCTTAATTCGTAGCACCTTCCCTAACCTTCCTTCAGGCCTTCGCAGTTTCACCTAAAATCAAGGCTGTAGAGCAGACCGTGCTCAGCTTTCCTTTCCTGCCCTGTAACAGATGTTCTGATGGAGTTGCTTCCTCCCTAATGAAGGTTTCCATCATTTACACCCCAGCTACCAGTTCCTTCTCAGTGGTAAGCATCCAATCCATTATGGAAGTTGCTTTACATTTTGATGGATGGCATGCGCAGCAGGGAAAGACAAGAAACGATTAGCTCGTCTGCTTTGCTAGTTGAGAATGTTTCAGGGGTTGTCTGGCTACTTCAAGTCCCCTAGGATACCTATATCATGATTCTGGGCCAGGCTTGTGATTTGTTTTCTCTAAATACATTTCCTGTTTCTGTCCAGATTTAGCGTATCAGAGTGAAACCATCACATGTGTTTCTGTCTCCTTCCTTTTTTCTTAATATAGAACATGTGTGCTCCCAGTTGTGGTCATGCCATTAGCTTTGATTTAGATTTTTTTTTGGGGGGAAAGAACTTTCTAGGGGATTTAGTTGGGTGTTTCTTTGGATGCTTTTATTCAATAATAATAATTTTTTAAAAAATCAACTCTCCCAGCCTCTCCCCCCCCCAAAAAAAGAGGGAGAAAACCAGTTCATTCTGCTGTGGTAGTGGTATGAGGATGATGATGATATAAGTAGATCATGTTGGGTGGATTGGAAGGAGAAATAAGAGGCCAGCTAAGACTGTCTTATACTACCCTTCAATGACAGATCATAAGGCCTAGCTTCTGATCCCAGATATCCCAGACAGTCTCCATTTAGGTTTGGGCTTTTTTTTTCCCCTTATGTTTTCCATCAACCCTAGTTTGTTTTCTTAGTCTGTTCCCTGGTACTTCTTTCTGTCTTTCCTCCCTCCTCAGATCTTCCTTGTCTTGGGTTTGAAATATGTTTTCTCTGCTGCTCCCCCTGCCCTAGCACCCCCAAGCATCACTATGTGTACGTTCACTGTAGATAGCAATTTGGCATCTGAAAACTTTCAAAGCCACATACTCTTTTTAATTATGAGTTTTAATCTCTTTGTTCCATGTAAAGGTATGCTCTTTGTAGGCATTATCCTTGGCTTCCTTTTTCCATAAAAATACTAGAATTTAGGGCTAGTGATCTGTGGTTTAATGAAGTAGGATGATTACTCTATAGTTTTAGAAATATAATAATCCTTAGTTTGTCTCCCTTTAAATTTCCCGTTTGTACTTGTGACTTTACTTATTGAGTTCCCTAAAGTAGACATGTGATACGGAGCCCCTCCAGAATACAGAAGGAGGTTAGCTCAGATATCTGAAATCAACCTGAGTCCTGGTAGTGTCTTCCCTGGCCTCAGAAGTGTGTCTGATAAATAAGGGAGATTTGGAGTCCTAGAATCCCAGGGTTGTAAGGGAAGGGTGGAAATCCCTCTCTCAATGCAGAAAGCTGCAGATCGCCTTTCAGTGACATTCATCCAGCCTCTGTTTAAATATTCTCACGCACGATGTTGATTCCATTGTGGGGAGATAATATTGTAGAGGAAAGAGCATTGGGCTAGAAATGAGGTTCTGTTACTGCCTTAGCGATTAATTAGTTGTATGACCTTGGCCAAGGTACTGACTCACTCTGAGCCTAAATTTCCTCCTCTGGAGAATATAATAATTCATATATTTCTTTCACAGTGTTTTTGTAAGGATTTAATCAGTACCTATTATGTGCCAAGTACCATGCTAAGCATTGGGGATGCAAAGAAAGGCAAAAATAGCCTCTGCCCCTCAAGGAGCTTAGTCTCATGGAGGAGATGACATTCAAACAGCTATGTACGTACAAATATAGGTGAGAGACATAAACTGGAGATGATCCCAGAGAGAAGACATGAGTAGTGAGGGTGACTGGGAAGGGCCTCTTGCACAACACGGGATTTTAGCTGGGACTTGAAGGAAGCTGGGAGGTGGGGATAAAAGGGAGAGCCCTCCAGGCAGGGGGACAGTCAGAGAAGATGCCCAGAGGCGAGACATGGAGTGTCTTGTGCTGTGTCCTATGGGTCACTGGGTAAGCCTTCTGCAAACTACAAGTGACTGTATTGAGGCAGAGTGGAATATTACTTTGTCCTACATTTTTCTAGAGGGTGAGGTCAGAAATAAGATCTGCGTGTGACATTTACATGTCTTTTTCAGACTGGGAAACAAAACTGAAAACAAAGAGTCATCTCCAGGGTTGGGGGTTTGTATGGAAGAATCATCCCAGAAAACACTCCCCAAGGATTGTCCCTGTGTCCCCAAAGTGGGAGAAGCCTGGCAGTATGACGTCTGGTTGGAGAAGAAGCAGCGAGATGAAGAAGAGCATCTTCAGCAATTAAAGAGCAGTGTAAGGAATCCTACCAACAAAAGAAAAGGCCAGGAACATATTAGATGTGGCCAACACGTCAGTCCACAAGGAGTTTCTGTAGGAAAGATTCTCTATCAGTGTAACAGCTTTTATTCTGAGCTGAGTAGAGGTCAGCAGATCTGTTCAGAGAAGAGAGGCTATAAGTATGGTGAATGTGATAAGTCCCCCATTTACCTCTCTGACTTTCTTGGCCATCGACTGACCTCTGGAGAGAAAGCTGATGAGTGCACCGAATACAGAGGGACCTTTTACAGTAGCTCACTCATCACTTCCCTTCAGGCAGCGCAGACCAGAGAGAACCTGTATGAATGTGTGCAATGTGGGAAAGGCTTTCATCGGAGCACACATCTTATTCGACATCAAACAATTCATACTGGAGAGAAACCATACAGATGTAAGGAATGTGGGAAGACCTTCCGACAGAGTGCACAGCTTACCCGGCATCACATAATTCATACTGGAGAGAAACCTTATGAATGTAGTGAATGTGGCAAGGCCTTCAAACACAGCTCATCTCTTGCTTCCCATCATAGAATTCATAGTGGAGAGAAACCTTATGAGTGTAGTGAATGTGGCAAAGCCTTCCGTGAGAGCTCACACCTTACACGGCATCAGAGAATTCATACTGGAGAAAAACCTTATGAGTGTAATGAATGTGGAAAGGCTTTTAGCCGGAGCACTGAACTTATACGACATCAGACAGTTCACACTGGAGAGAAACCTTTTGAATGTAATGAATGTGGGAAAGCGTTCCCTCAGAGGACACAACTTACTCAACACCAAAGAATTCACACTGGGGAGAAACCTTATGAATGTAATGAATGTGGGAAGGCCTTTTGTCTGAGCTTACAGCTTAACCGACATCGACTTCATACTGGAGAGAAACATTATGAGTGTAGTGAATGTGGGAAGGCCTTCAACTACAGCTCATCCCTTTCTTACCATCGAAGAATTCATACCAGAGAGAAACCATATGAATGTAGTGACTGTGGGAAGGCCTTCAATCGCAGCTCATCCCTTGCTTCTCATCAAAGAATTCATACTGGAGAGAAACCTTATGAATGTAATGTGTGTGGTAAGGCCTTCTGCCAGAGCACACAACTTACTCGCCATCAGAGAGTTCATATTGGGGGAAAGCCTCATGAATGTAATAAATATGGAAAGACTTTTAGCCAGTGCACACAACTTACTGAGCACCAGGTAATTCATATTGGAGAGAAGCCTTATAAGTGTACTGAATGATTGTAGGCCTTTGGCAAAAGCAAACATCCAACACCAGGTGCTTAACGCTGGAAAGAGAAACTTTTTTAAATAAACAAAACTATGTGCAAAGCCCTTCAGCCTGAGCACAGAACTTAGTACATCATTTCAGAGAATTTATGCTAGCAAGAAGGCTTGTGAAGCTCACGTTTCCCTCACTGAAGCCACACAAAATCCACTGCTCCCTCAGGCTTATCTTAGTGGACGCTTGCTATGGACTTTCAACCTGCAAATAAACACTCTACTCTGTCACTTTCTCAGGGATACTTATAGTCACCAAAATTAGTTGACTAGTAGTATGGAGGTCATGTTTTGGGTCGGAAAGCTATTATGTGTATAATCTATGAATATAGGCACATAATTATGTTATTACTGCTAATTTATCTCAGCCAGATCATGTGACACCAGTATTCACTTGGTGATCCCCATATATGCTGGATAATTAGGAAAGGAATTTCTCATTTTTGTAAAAAGCTCAGGTGGGCTGCACACCAGTGTCATGCAGGCAGCATGATGGAACATTATGATTCCATTTTCTTTGGGTAAGGGGCAGGAAGACAGAAATTTGTAGCCTCCTGTTTCCCTTCTAGGAATAAGTATCTCTCCTCAGAACTACCTAAATTGTCACTGAGAAAGAATGTTTTACAGTTTTAGGAATGCATAGGCCAGCTAGCCAGCAGGTTAACAAGATGAGTGTGAGTCTGATCATCAGGGACCATCAGGCCGGCTGAGGAAGGACAGATCCATTTTGATCCTTTATAAACAATTGATTTGGGAACACACTTTTAAAGTTTAATTTGCACTATTAACATTTTCTCTATCACTTTCTTAAGTCTAGACAATCAACAAAATAATAAATCAAGCCCAGATTTATAGCATTTCAGGTTTCTGAGGTGTACATGCTCACATTGAAAGTCTAACGCCATTCCTGTCCTCAGGCTTTGCAGTGCCAGATTGGTGAGTATTGCTCTTGTCATTCATCCTTGAGATTCCTAGACAGCTGCCTCCTCTTCCTCCTCCCCCCTCCCTTCTGCACGTATGCACCTGAGAACGATGAGCAGAACTTCTGTTCCAGGGTTTTTTCTCCCTCTTAGTCTGCCTCTTGGCTTTCCGAGGGAGCGTTACTCAGAGAGCAATGGCTAACACTGTTTCAAGGGATCCAGAGTGATTTTAGGGGCTTCACTGGAGGCTCACAGCAGTCCAGAGCAGCAGAGTCTACACACGCCCCCATTTTATAGATGAGGAAACAGGATTAGATGGGCTGAATGATTGGCCCATGCTCACACAACTAGTAGGTATTGAAGGTAGGCTTTGGGCCCAGATCTTGCTGCCTCTCAGAGCAGGAGGGGTTTTCTTGGATTGGACAATGCACTTGAAGGAGCCAGCCCCCTTCTGGGAATTTGCTTGCAGTTAGGGTTTGTCTATTTGTTTTCATGACATGATGTTGCTATGCTGATGCTGGAAATGCAGCAATGTGCTATTTCTGCTAAGTGCACCCCAGTTCTTCCTCTTAAGGGGCTTGGCGATAGCACTGTGCTAAATGCTGGGAATATGAAAACTAGTAAGATAGTCCCTGCCCTCAAGGAACTTCCATTCTAGTGAGTGAAGCCAACACATAAAGGGATTGAATGATTTTAATATATGGAGGGGGGATCCCTTCTTCCTCACCTCACCCATCTAATCTGGTGCCAAGTCCTATCACTTCTACCCCCTCAGTGTCTCCCATTACGTGACCACTTCTCTTTACTCATGCTGCCGCCACCCTAGTTGAGGTCTTCATTCTTCTTTCCTATGCTTAGAACAGTAGACATGAATGTCTGCCCCTCTTGTTCACATCCTCCCATAAGCTGGTCGGGGGGTGGGTGTGGGAGGGGCCCACTTAACATACTGGAAGCCTTTTTCAGTTTCTCTTGGGAAGTCAAGGATACCAGCGGAGCACTCCAGCTGTCCACCTGTCATCTCTTATAATGTGACCAACCACTCTTCCCATCATATGATTAATATATTTTCTTTCTGTTTCTTTGAAGCCCTCATTGGTTACATGTTACAGGCTGCTCACACCTACTCTGCACCTCTCTATTGTCCTGTGTGTGATCTTTGTTATTATTCAGTCTGTGATCTTCCATGCCATGCTGTCACCAACGCCAGTAGAATGCTGGTATTAATAAGATGGGCCTTGGTTTCTATGGAAGCTTGGGGTCATTGAAAATATTTCTAAATTTCTCATAGTCGACTCAACCTCTCTCATCTCTTGGTCCAAATCATCCATCATCCATATCCCAGATAAATATACCAATGGAAAGCTCTATAGGTTGTCCATCTAAATACAGGCTACAATCCACTTGTTTTCTCCTATGTGGATGGTCAAACCAAACTCCTTTGAGTGATTACAGGTCTCTTCCTGGAGGCTCTGCAAGGTTCCCAGGCCTGGTGCAACTAGCACAATGTTAGCCACAAACAGGAGCATTTAAAGGACCTCACCATCTACAGGGAATCCCACTTCTTCTTGGACGCCATGATGGATCTCCATCACAGTGGCGAACACCTATGATGAACAGCTACCTCCCTGTTTTATGCCTCTCCTGCCAGCAAAACTCCAAAGCACGGCCTATACCAGCTTAAAATAAATATAATTGGGAAATGTTTAACAAAAATAAAAATACAATGCAATATACATAATGTTAACTTATGATTCTCTAAGTCATTATACTCCTCCAAACTATTTGAGTTTGACACCATTGGTCTAGACCCTCTAAAGTCATTTGGAGATCACTGGAATGAGGAACACGAACAAACTTTAGAGATTTGGTCAACTGACTCCTGCAAGCTTTGTTGGCCTGTGCAGATCCAAGCAAGCCATTAGTGTTGCACTCTTGTTCTCACAGGAGACATGGGATCTGTACCCAGAGAATGCTGGTCACCAGAAATCTATTGCATTTTCCAGCTGAGGAATTAAAGATCCCAAGGCTCAGTATTTCACACACAAACCAGTGTTCTTGATTCTGAAGTGGGCTGTCTGACAAGTTCCAAGACTGCCTATGGAGGCAGATTTTGCGTGTGGTTGGAAAACAGTCTACAGATGAGTATTTTCATCATTATTAACTTGGTTACTCCCTGCCAGAGTTAGGCAGAGGCAATAGCTAGGCATGAGTTCAGCACATTCTATTGGCTAGGAAAAACTACTGTAGGTGCAGGTACTCTGCCCTGTGGATCACATGACACTGAAACTATTGTTGTTCAGTCATTTTTAGTCATGTCCAACTCTCTGTGGCCTCACTTGAGGTTTTCTTGACAGATACTGGAATGGTTTGCCATTTCCTTCTCCAGCTCATTTTACAGTGAGGAAACTGAAGCAAACAAGGTGAAGTGACATACTCAGGGTCACACAGCTAGTAAGTGTCTGGGGCCAAATTCAAACTCAGGAAGAGGAGTCTCTGCCCACTGCACCACCTAGCTGCCACTGAAAGTGTGGCGATAGCCATAGAAAGAGATGGATCTGGGAATATGTGTGGTAGGCAAGGTGAGGCAAATGGAAGTGCAGCCAAGAATATGAGACTTCTGCCCAAAAGCATGTCATGAGGGTCTAGAACTTTCACTCAGCCAGTCAATGAGCATTTATCAAGTGCCTACTAAGTGTCAGGCACTATGCTAAGCACCAAGGACACAAAGAAAGGCAAAAGACAGTCCCTGCTTCAAGGAGCTGCTGGTCTTTGTGGTGCTGAAGCAATCCTCCTGGGGTCAGTTGTCTCTGGATGACTGGTGTTAAGAAGAACAGATACATGAGGAAGGACTGAAAGCTGATACAAGCCAAAATGAGACATGGAAGAATTCACATTTCTTTGGTGGGAGGGCCCCTTAGCACTGAGCCAATGGCAGCAGTCGGAGCTGCGCAGTGGTGTGCTGTGCCAGACCACGACAGATCCCAGACTAGCCACCAGGAAGCTGTTGGTGGCTTCCCTGGTCATTTTGCTTATGGCCCCAGAAGCACTACATTATGATTCTGGACATTTAGGTCCAGAAGGGACACTTGAACTAGTGAAAGAGAGATTTTTTTTTTCTGGTCCTAAATGGCAGTGGGATTTGTGTCCAAGTGGTGCTCGACGTGTTCAAAGGAAAGTGAGGCCAATTGCTGCTGCACGCTAGGAGGGCATAAGCACCAGTCAGCCTTTGGGTCTGGGCGCCCTGACCTTCTCATCTTTGGAAGGTGCTAGTAAGAACACGAGCCATATCCTAGAAGTTACTGACCATTTACCTGGTGGGTCCAGCCATCCCCAACCAGGAACCAGCCAGCTCCTGCATTTTGCTAAAGTGCTGGGGGGAAATATAAGGTATTCCCAAAGTCTGGATTATATTTCTTAGACTATGGTTTCCCAGCTATGTTTTTCTCTGAACAAGATAAGAGATTTTGAAAGTAAACAACTTAGGGAAATGATCACCTTGATGGGAGTCAAGAAGTCTAGTACCTGATCTTATTACCCTCAGGAAGACCATTCTCCATTCTGATCCTTTTGACCACCCACTGCTGAAACGTGATAGACTTTGAAGCCAGAGCAGAAACCTCAGTGGAGTCGAGCATGATTTCTGAAGCACATATACAACACTAGTGGGAAGAATGCCACTGGCTTTATCCCATCCTTCCTGATGTTTGGGTGGGAGCCATGTTTGCCTACTGACTTGTGCTTTTAAAATGCTACATGTTATTTCCCAGCCTGCCCATCCTCATTGCCTCTCCTTCTACTCCTTCCTCAACTCTGCCATCTGGCTTCTGACCTCATCACTCCACTGAAACGGCTCTCCACAAAGTTACTGATGACCTCTTCCTTTGCCAAGTCTGAGAGTGTTTTCTTTACCCTAATACCAACCAGTTTGTGGTTGTATTTGATACTATCGACACTCATCTTCTCCAAGACTTTCTCTCTTCTCTGAGTTTTCATGGGCCTGCAGACATAGACTCTGGATAATGGGAGGCAGGACATAAGGGGGTTAAGACTGTATCCTTAGAGGATATTAGTAGGATAGGACACTATAGGTGGGGTCAGGCCATGAGTGACAGGTCCAGGGACATCCTGGACACATTCTTTAGCTAAAGTCTGACAGGGACATAGGAATGTACAAGCAATTTACTTAGACAGAGGAGCTGGCCAACAGACTTAACTCTGTAATCAGAGAACCCTGTGCCTTGTGCAATATTCCACTTATATTTCATAGTAAACATGAAGCCAAGATGAAGGAATTCTGCAGCAAATTACAAACAAAACCCCAGGATTTTCAATGTTTTACCTAAGAAAACAATGGTAAAGTGGGCATATCCTGAGGAAGATGGCCGTTCTTGGGGATCAATATCAACAAACATTTATTAAGTATCTACTGTGTGCAGGCACTGTATCCCCAGGCACTGGGAGATACAAAGAGGCAAAAGACAGAATCTGCCTCCAAGGAGCTTACAATCTAATGGGAGAAACAGAACAAGCCATATACAGGACAAACAGAAAACAATTACATGAAAGACATTCTCTCTCTTGATCTGGTCAGTGGTAAACTAAGGACATTTCCATTCTCAATTTGGGCCTAATTCCAGGGACACTGTTAGAAAACAGTTGGCAACCTCTGTAACACAACAGAGGTCTCAGTGTTGTAAGCATTCCCTGGCGTTAGGTCACTTAGATGCTTCACTGAAACAGGACTGTGAGTTTCTGGGGGAGACTACAAGATCCATGGGCCTCTTGGCACAGACCAGGCCCCGGGGGACAAGTCAACCCTCCACCTAAGACACAGAGGCAGCCAGGTATTGGGAAGCCACACGGATGCCTACCTCAGACAAGGTTTGGGGGCACTTGGGAATTCTGCAGAACTTAAGAATCCAGGGTGAAACCATGTGCCAGGCATTGTGCCAACCTCTGGGGTACAAAGACAAAGTCACGTCCCTGAGGGAGCTGGGCAAAGACTCTTACTCTTTCTATTCCCAGTGCTGCACACAGCGCTTGGCTTACTATTCAACTAACCAGCATTCTGTAAGGGAGACAAGTTGTACACGTGTTTGAATGGACAAAATGAGTACATCCATAATGTGTATTTTTTGAATACAGCTGTGAATTCCTCAGAACGGCAAACGTGCTGAAGAGTGTGGTCTGCCAATGCAGCTCACTCCCTGCTCTGCAAACTTACCCTCTGAAAGTTGCCTGGGGCCCTGGGGTGTCAAGTGAGTTTCCCAAGTTCAAACATGTTGGGGCTGGAACTTGACCTGATGTTTCTAACTACTCTGCCACGTTGTCTTTGCTAACACAGAGGATGAAGCTATGAAGGCTGAGTTGTTCTTGAGAATATTCCAGGGCCACCTGTCTTCAAGGGTGTCACCCATCCTTGGCATGATCTCTCTGCTTCCTCTTTTTTGTCTTCCTGCCTTGGTCACATCCCGCCCACCACAGAAGGGCTTTCCTGGTCCTTCAGGGGCTGGTGACTGAGATGACCTTTTCTTTGCTTGGTATCTATCTTTTAAGGATCTCACTAGTTTTAGGTTGCCTCTCCTATTACACTGTGTGATCCTTAAGGGCAAGGAGTACTTTTGCTGTTCTTTCTACTTCCTGCACGTAGCACGGTGCTAAATGCTGGATAAAGCCTCGTGTCTAATTCACGGGAACCACCGGGCATACTGAGACAAAACAAGCAATCTCTGGCCTCTGGGATCCTTACTGTCCCGGTTACATAACATCCAAACAGATAAGCCAAAGATCTGAGGAAGCAAAGAGGAGGCGTCAGAGCACTGTCCAAGTAGGTCAGCTGTGGAGCTGGACTTGAAGCAGTTAGGTGGTGCTTTGGCTAGAGGCCTTGACCTGGAGACTGGAAGACCTGAGTTCAAATCTGGCCTCAGATATTTACTGTGAACAAATCACTTAATCTGTCAGCTTCAATTTCCTCAAGTGTAAAACGGGGAGCATAGTGACACCCAGCACAGGGTTATGTAAAGGTCACATGACATCAGTAATGCCTTTAGCACACGTCCCATGTCCCACTTAGGCCTGAAACACATCCCCTCCACCTGTTACCTTCTGGCAATCCGAAGCTTCCCTCAAAGGAGTTTGGGGTAAAGGACAAAACCAAGTTACCTTTTCCTGTTCCATCAACAAATCTGATTAGCACAAAAGATTTTAACAAAAGATTATGTGTATATGGGGCTTTAAGTTTAGCATTTTACACATATTATCTCCAGACATTGACAAAAAAATTCAACATGATAAGGCTAAGCCCAAATTCCTAAAGGCCCTTGAGAGCTGACTATCAGACCACTCTTAACTACTCAAGCAGCCACTAAACTGTTCTAATCTCACTTACGATACTATTGTCTCCCCTAGCTCTATCTTTCATGTTGGAAGCATGATATTCAGGAAGCTGTGTGCTCTGGCTGAAGGGCTACAGTATTGTTTTACTAATGGTCCCACTACTTTTTGGACACATCTCTGCCACTCACCACTGACTCTCCTCTTCCCAATAAAGACTAACAATTAAATATCATCAAGGAAAATAAGTCAACACATTGGTTACTTGTGAAAGTATATACCTCACCCTTACCCCTCAATTTCCAATTCTTTGTCACTACAAAAAGAGCTGCTATAAACCTTTTTGTACATGTAGGTCTTTTCCCCTTTTTTATGATCTCTTTGGGATACAGACCAAGTAGTGGTATTGCTGGATCAAAGGGTATGCACAGTTTGAATGCCTTTTTAGTTCCAAACTGTTCTCCAGAAAGGTTACATCAGTTCACAACTCCACCAATAATGCACTGGTGTCCCAATTTTCCCATATCTCCTCCAACATTTATCATTTTCCTTTTCTGTCATATTAGCCAATCTGACAGGTATGAAGTGGTACTTCACAGTTGTTTTAATTTCCATTTCTCTCATTTCTCTAATCAACAGTGACTTAGGGCATTTTTTCACATGACTATAGACAGCTTTGATTTCTTCATCTGAAAACCACCTGTTCATATCCTTTGAACATTTATCAAATGGGAAATGGTTGAACATGTTGTGGCATATGGATGTAATGGAATACTGTTGCGCTATAAGAAATGAGCAGCAGGCAAATTTCAGAAAAACCTGGAAAAGACTTACCTGAACCAACGCAGAGTGAATTGAGCAGAACTGGGGGAACACCGTACACAGGAACATTATGTGTTAATCAGCTATGACTGATTTAGCCCTTCTCATCAACAGTGACCCAAGACAATTCCAAAAGACTCATGATGGAAAATGCTATCCACATCCAGAGAAAGAACTGACAGAGTCTGAATGGAGATCAAAGCATATAATTTTCACCTTATTGTGTTTATTTTCCCCCTTTTGTTCTGTTTCTTTTTTCACAAAATGACTAATATGGAAATGTTTTACATGATAGCTCATTTATAACCTACATCAAATGCTTACTGTCTTGCGAAGGTAGAAAATTTGGAATTCACAATTTTGCAAAAAAAAAAGTGTTAAATTGTGTTTACATGGAATTGGGAAAAAAATAAAGTGCTATTCAAAATGAAAAAATAAAGTGCCTCATTTGCATTTCTAGGCAATGACCCCGGTAGAAGAAGAGGTGGTTCACCAGCAAAAGGCTTTCCTTATGCACTATGTGTCCACAGATCCTTTCCAATATTAACTAAATTTGTCAATCTCTTCCAGAGAAAAAATTTGCTCCAATGATTATATTAATGTATTAATTTTTGTCCATCATGAATTCTATATGTTGAATATGTATTCTGATCTAGTGGCAATGTCTTTGCACTTTCATTGCATTCCTAAGACTTCTTTCTGGCATGAATTCTTCTATGGAAAGAAAGACCTGCATTCTGAGTAAAGGCCTTTCCACATTCATTACATGCATAGGGTTTCTCTCCAGTGTGAGTTCTCTGATGTCGAGCCAGCGTTGTGATGCGGGGAAAGGCTTTCCCACAATCACTGCATTTAAAAGGTTTCTCTCCAGTATGAATGCTGAAGTGTTGTGTGAGATCTGACTTCTGGCGAAAGATCTTCCCACATTCTGTGCATTCGTATGGTTTCTCTCCCGTATGTATACTACCATGATGAGTAAGATCAGACTTCTGAGAGAAGGCCTTCCCACACACACTGCACTGATGAGGCTTTACTCCTGTATGTGTACTCCGGTGCTGAGTAAGGTTGGAGCTTGATCGGAATGTCTTCCCACATTCACTGCATTCATAGGGTTTCTCTCCAGTGTGAGTTCTCTGATGTAGAGTCAGTGTTGTGCGCCTCGGAAAGGCTTTCCCACAATCATTGCATTTAAATGGCTTTTCTCCAGTATGAATCCTGTAATGTCGAATAAGGTCTGTCTTCTGGTGGAAGGCCTTTCCACAGTCAATGCATTCAAAAGGTTTCTCTCCAGTATGAATTCTGTAGTGTTGTGTAAGATTCATCTTATACTGGAAGGCCTTTCCACATTCACTGCACTCATAAGATTTGTTTTTACCCTGAACACTAGAGTGATTAAGATCTACCTTCTGACAGAATATCTTCCCACATTTAGTCAATTCATAACATTTTTTTCCTGAATCAGTTCCCTGGTATGGAATAAGTTCATTATTCACAAGGAAAGAATTTCTACTTTCATGAAGTTTCTGGTCAGCATGAATTCCATATTTTTTAATGGGGTCAAAATGATAACCAAAGGCTTTCTGACTTTTGTTAACCTCATAATATTTCTTCTTTGAGTAAACTTGATTAAACTGTCTTTGGTCTGACTCCATGGTAAAGCTCCTTCTCTGATGATCACCTTCATGGAAACTCGTTACTATAGATACCTCCTGTTGTGGAAAAAGGACTGGCTCTGGGCTAGATGTTTGCCTGTATTTACTGTCTTCAGAGCCTCTGACTTTGTCAGCAATTTCTGTTTGGATTACTTTTCTTTTTCTAGAATGTTTCTTATTGTTCCACTCTTTATTTAACCTGCCATAACACTCCCAGGTTTTCCCCATCTTGAAGATGCATGGGTCATCCCACAAGGAATTTTGCTGGGATAAGTCCTCCATTGAAATACCCATCTCTGGAGGTGACTCCTTGGTCTGAGGCCTGGCATTCCAATCTGAAAGAAAGAAAAAGTGGAAATATATTTTTTCCATGGATGAACAAGCTTTTGCCTGTGTGTTACTTTCCCCAATATTCTGGCTTTTATAAGCAATGTCCATATTGTTTTCATTTAAATAGAAAACAATTCTTATTTCTTTGCACTCACCATGCTTATTCTTTAATATAGTCCAATAATAGTATATTAGGTGAATGCACAAAAATTGATGCAGATGATGCACAATTAATGGGAACATGGAAGACTGCTGGCTCCCCTAAACCAAAATGAACACTATGGTTCGAAGTAGTTTTTTCTTTCACCGAAAATTCTTCATCTGAATCTCAAACCTCAGAAAATCATGGGAATGTGATCACTGGATCTAAGAAGGGGAAGTTATGTGGAGCTCTGACACTGAAGAATTCCACTTTGCTTTCCAAAAAGTTGACAACATCCAAATAAAAGGAAGGAGTTGGGAAGAAATTATCTGTAAGATCTATGGCTGGGAGAAGAGCTCATGACTACAAAACTCATTGAGAAGATCACAATTGTGTCCATTTTCAGAAAGCATACAGATAGATTATCAGCTGAGAGGTGGGGAATCATGTACTCACCTGGCCAGCAGGTTCTTAGGACACTGTCCACTGGAATCCCATGTGCTTCCCCTGACTCCAGTTGAGAAATCACATCTAGACTGGAATCTGAAAGGCCTAGTCAAGGGAAATGGTAAAGTGATGGACAGGTATGGTCACCTCACAGGCCCCTAGGGGCAAACTAGGAAGGTCAACTGAGTCTGGGGGCATGGAAAAGGAAAGAGAAAATAATTGAAGGATGATCTGGTTTGTTTTCTTGGGAAGACAGAGGAATAGGACAAAGAATGGAGTTGGGTTCACAAAGACAATGAGTTCATATGATCCACTCAATACTGAGGTCTCAGAGCTTTCAAGTACTTGCAGTGGGACTCGAGAATACCTTGCTGGCCTGAACAGAGAGATGTGGAGTGAGCTCACACAATGAGGCAGCCAGTTCCAAACATACAAAGCAAGAGCCCTTCAGCTGGGACCAGGCAGAGCACAAGAACCCTGTCTCTTGGCCTCACTGCAAGTAACAAATGCTTGGTTTTCTTACAGGCCAAAGCAACAGTGCTGAACAGCGGACCCAGCCCCAGCCAGAAGGAAGCAAACAACCTTTTGGGGCAGATCCCAAGTCCCCAGAAGAGCCTCCTTACCCAGGCTGACCAGGTTCCTGTAGTTCTCCAGCATCACCTCCCAGTAAAGCTCCTTCTGGGAAGTGTCCAGGTAGCCCCACTCCTCCCAGGTGAAGTCCATAGCCACATCCTTGAAGGTCACTGATTCCTGAAACAAATAAATCTGTGCTTGGCCAGGGACCACAACCCAGATGGATGTGGAAAGGGGGGTGAAGGGGGCAGGAATGAGAAGGACTGATTCTTACTATATTCAGGTTTCAGTGTTCAAAGCAAAATCTTGAGGAGCATTTACTACATGCCTCAGGCTGTACTAGATTCTGAATCATGTAACAAATGAATAGTCATTGTCAAGTCAATGTTGTTGTTTGTCCTTCCTTCTTGAAGATGATGACATCAGGGAGGTCATGTCATGGAAGTGAACTGGATTTACAAGACGGATGGCTATGCAAAGTCACCAGCCTCACTTTCTCCTCCGGAGCCATTTGGGTCCAATGGCTAGATCTAGATCAGGACAACTGGAGATGGCCCTGGGGATACAAAGAAAGCAGTCCCTGCCCTCAAGGAGCTCACAGTCTAATGGGGGAGACAGCAAGCACCTGACCACTGACAAACAAGGTCTAGACAACACTTTCCTCCCAACCACCTTGGGAAGGCCAGCATTCCTCATCCGTGCTTAACAGATGAGCAAACCGAGGCTAAGATACGCTTTGTGGATTGCTCACGTTCACACACAGGATTGGAGCTATGGCTCCCACCCCTGCCTCCAGAGCCCGTCCAAAGCTCTCTCCACCAGACCATGATGCCTCCTTCTCAGCAGCTCAGGTTTACCTTTGGAAGTCTTCTCCCAAGGCAGCAGAACCAAACAACAGGCCTTTGTTAAGGACTAGCTATGTTCCAGGTACTGGGTTACATGATGGGAATGCAAAGAAAAAGCAAAAATGGGGGGCCTGGAAAAAGCCTCCTGAAGGAGCCAGAGCTGGTTCTTGTTTCAAAAACACGCGGCCTTTTCACTCCCTGACATTCCAGCTGGGTCTCTGAAGGGAGTCCAGAGCCCTAGCCCTTTGTGTAAGCATTAGGACAATTCCTCCTTATTATGAGACTAGATTAGCCAGCCATGCTTCTAGAACATCATTTCCCTCTGCCTTTGATTTTTTGCTTAACCATCATTTTCAGAACAGTGTTTGTAAATGTGCTCATGCTGAGATCAGATTTCAGCGCCCTGGACACAACTTTTCAAGACAGGAAGTAAGGGAAATTGGGTAGCTTGAAATTTAATGTGAACTTCAAACACAAAAATTAGGAAACATAGTTGAAAACATCTGTTTTACTGGAGATGCCCAGAGAGGGAAACTCCAAAAAATACCATCTGAAGAATAAGGACACTAGAGCTTAAAAATAATTTGAATTTTAATAAAGTAAAAGTCAAATGACTTTGGCAGGTGAGTAGAGGATGAACTAGAATGGGGAGAGGCTGGAGGCTCGGAGACCAAAGAGCAGGCTCTGGTAAGAACCCAGTGGGAGGTGACCAGAACCTGCACTAGGGGGGAGGACTGAGGACTGGACAGAGGGGACATGTGCAGTCAAGAGATTATGTAGAAAAAGAAATCCTTCCAAGTTAGCAGCTAACCTCATATGTGGGCTGAGAGAGGGAACATTCAAAAGGAACAATGACGCTGCCAGCCTGGGTGACCTGGAGGTTGGTGGTGTCCTCCTAGGGAATAAGCCCCGTTCAGAAACAGGGAGGGTTTGGGGGGAGATACTGAATTATCCTGGGAGATGGTAAGTGGGAGATGCCTATGGGAAATTCTGCTTAAAAAGTCCTAGTTATTTGTTGTAGATTCAGAAGTGGAGCCCATGGCATGGGATGAAACCCCCAAGTGAGGTGGAGAGAGAAGAGAGAAGTCTTGGAGAAGCCTCTGAGACAGGAGGAATGCCATGGATGCTGACCCAGCAAAGGGGGCAAAGAAGGGAGGAGTGGTCAGACAGGAAGGAGGAAGGGACCCAAAGGGAGCAGGGCCATGAAACTGTCAGGGATTAAAGCTGAGGCCTGAGAAGAGGCCACTGGATTGGGAGATTTGGGGAGGGAGTAACCACTGGGACGATCAGAGACAGTCTCTCTGGAGATGCCACCTTTCAGGGTCCCCCCAGGTGTTGAGTCAAGTGAGGTGAACCAGCATTTATTAAGTGCCTATTGGATGACAGTCACTGTGGTCTGCTGACTGAATGGCTGATCAGCCCCAGGTGCTCTGAGGACAGAGAGCACTGAGAAAGGACCTGTCTACACTGTGACCTGAGACACCTGTCAGGGAGGAAGACCATGCTGCTTACCTGGGGGGGCCTGCTGGTGAGGAACTCGGGGCCCATTCTGGCTCCTTGCTGCTCCGTGCCCTGGCTCACACCCAGGCCCCTGGGGTCCCACGAGGCAGAGCTGGAAAGGAAAAGGCAGCCATGAGGGGGGGTGGGCCCTTCCCCCTGACCCCCCCCCCGACCTGCCTCTGCCTGGGAAATGCCCACAGTGACCCCGGGGGCCGCCTGTCTGTGTCCAGGACTCGGGTCAACTCAACGTGCATTGTGCCAACTCAATGTGCCCCTCCCCCCAGAAAGCCAGGTCACGTGAGGAGGGAGGGGCAGTGACACGGGGGGGGGAAGGGGAGGGCATGGGCTGGGGGGATCCTCCAAGTTAGAGCAGGGAAGGAGAGGGGAGGGAAAGGAAAGAGGTGAGAATGGAAGAAGATCCGGGGAAGGAGCGACAGAAAAAGGGGAGAGGCCCTCGGTCGGTCCCGCCTTACTGAGACCCCGCTCCCCCAAGGGTCCAGGAGCCTTCTCCCCACTTCAGAGACAAGCCAATTAAGGCAAAGAGGGAGGAGAGGCCGGGGAGGGGTGGGGGCGGGGATCCCAGGCGCCCGTCCCCCCTGGCGTCCCCTGGCCTTACCCCAACCCAGCACAAGCGCTGCGGACCCAGCAGGAACAAGAACCTCGCAGCATCCACAGGTATCAGAGATTGGAGTGGAGGAGGGAACTTCCGCGTCTGCGCAGTCGCTCCCTCAGCGGGGGTGGCGCCCATTGGCTAGCTCCCCCGGGGGGAGGCGGGGCTCCTTCATAGTAGTCAGCGCAAACTACTGGAAGTAGGAATGCGTTCCCGACGCGCCTGCGCATTCTACTCTTCCTCCTCCCCATCAGACCTGGAACTTCCAGCCAATCAGAGGCGCAGCCTCTGCCACGGCCCCGCCCCCTTCCCGTCCCCTGCTGTCCTGAGGCAGAGAACCAGGCTGCGGTGCCCCTGCCGGCGCCTGGGGTGTCCCTACGTGACAGGGAGGGCCCGGGGGGCAGAGGGATCCTCAGCGCGGGGTCCCCCCTAAATTTCTCTCTCTCCTTTTCCGCCCTCTCTTCTCCCTCCACTATCCGGCTCCTCTTTCCCTCCCCTCCTCCTCTCCTGCTCCCCACACCCTCCCCACAGGTGTCACCGCCCCCTCGCCCTCACGTGACCTGGCATTTCTGGGGGGAGGGGCCCAGTATGGGCTTTTCTGTCTCGACATCTCCAGCACCTAGAATGCAGCGAGGCATACAGTGGGCGCCTCACCAATGCACGTTGAGTTGACCCGAGTCCTGGACACAGACAGGCCGCCGCCGGGGTCACTCTGGGCATTTCCCAGGCAGAGGCAGGTCGGGGTGGAGGGGGAAGGGCCCACCCCACTCATGGCTGCCTTTTCCTTTCCAGCTCTGCCTCGTGGGACCCCAGGGGCCTGGGTGTGGGACAGAGCGGGGAGCAGCAAGGAGCCAGAATGGGCCCCGAGTTCCTCACCAGCAGGCCCCCCCAGGTAAGCAGCATGGTCCTCCTCCCTGACAGGTGTCTCAGGTCACAGTGTGTAGACAGGTCCTTTCTCAGTGCTCTCTGTCCTCAGAGCACCTGGGCAGATTCAGTCCCCAGACCACAGTGGTTAGAGCTCTGACTGTGCCAGGGCCAGATAAAACCCCCCATTTGGCATTTAATGCTCTGCACAAACTGAGCCCTTCTACCTTCCTGTGTCTTAGCATGTTAAAGTCCTCCCTGCTTCCTGTGGCCCAGCCAGCCTGGCCTGTTTTCTGTTCCTCACACGTGATCCCCATCTCTCCTCTGCTTCCCTCCCTGCCTGGAATGCTTTTCTCCTCTCACCTTGCCCCTCTTGGAGGCACTGACTTAATCTACCAATATTCAGCTCAAGCCCTGACTTTTATAGGAACCCACTCCTGGTCTCCTCAGCTGCTGGGGCCTTGCTGAACCCTCAGGACTGCTTCTGTGCCTGCTGTCTCCCCATTAGACTGTGAGCTCCTTGAGGGCAGGGACTGCTTTTGTCCTCATTTGTATCCCCAGGGCTCAGCACAGAGCCTGACACAGGGCAGACACTCCATCAAGTGCTTATGGGCTTGACAATGAGTGTTCTTGTATTACATGATTCAGAACCTGAGGCATGTAATAAATGCTCCTTGTGATTTTCCTTTGAACACTCTGCAACCTGAATATTGCAAAAACAGAGAAAGAACAGTAGAAATCAATCTCTCTAATGAATACAAAGGCAAAGCATCCTCAATGATATCCCAACTAGACTATTGCAACAACGTGTTAACATTGTGACCAACTGGGGTTTATACCAGGAATGCAGGGATAGTTTAGTATGAGGAAATCTATTAACAGAATTGATTGTATCAATGCCAAAAGTAAGAAAAATCAGGTGATTATGTCAATAGATGCGGAAAAGCTTTTGATCAAATACAACACTTCTTCCTCTTTGAAAACAAACAAACTTGAAAGCGTAGGTAAAAGTGGATTTTCCCTTAGAATGATAAGAAGCATCTACCTTAAACCTTCAGCAAACATTATTTTTTATGGGGATAAGCTAGAAGCCTTCTCAAGAAGATCGGGAGTGAAACAAAGATGCACATTACCACTAATGTTATTCAATATTTATTAGGAATGCTGATAATAGCAATAAGAGAAGAAGAAAAAATTAAGTAGCAGTGAAGTAATAAAACTATTTTAAAGAAGATAGAATGATATAATTGGAAAATCCTAGAATTCCAACTAAGAAGATAGTTGAAATTATTAATAATTTTAGCAGTGCGGCAGGATAAAATAAACCCACATAGATCGTTAGGTTTTTTATGTATCACCAATAAAACCCTGCAAGAAGAGATAAATAATACCCCAGTTAGAATAATGAGAGACAGCATAAAGTACATGGGAATATAGCTGCCAAGATAAGCCCAGAAAATAGAAGAACGTAGTTATAAAACACTTTTTGTTTTACAAACACAGATTTAAATAATTGGAGAAATATTAATGTTCATGGGTGGGCAAAGCCAATACAAAACAAATGACAATTATACCTAAGCTAATCTACTTATTCAATGTCATCCCAATTAAATGACCAAAGATTATTTTACTGAGCTAGAAAAATTAATAAGAAAATTCATTGGGAATAAAAATTTCAAGAATATCAAAGGAATTAATGAAAAAATGTAAAGGAAAGAGGTTGAGCAGTACCAAGTATTGTAAGGCCGTAATTGTCAAAAGTATCTGGCACTAGACAAGATATAGAAGAGTGGATCAGTGGAACAGAGTAGACATACTGGTAAATTATTACAATAACCGTGTGTTTGACAAAAGTAAATATTTAAGCTTGCAGAATAAGAATTCACTATTTGGTTAAAAACTTTTTTTTTGGAAAAACAGAAATCAATATGGCAGAAATTGGGTATAGAGCAATATCTTACACCATTTACCAAGATAAGATCAGAATGGATACATGTCCTAGATATAAAGGTAGATATCATAAGTATTTTAGAAAAACATGGAATATGGTAACTATCAAACTTATGAATAGGAGATGAATTTATGAATAAACAGAGATAAAGAGCGTTGTGAGATATAAACTGGATAATTTTGATTACTTTAAATTAAAAAGGTTTTGTACAAATCAAAGCACTGCAGGCAGCCAAGATTAGAAGCAAAGAATAAGATTGTGGGGGTGGGGGGTTAAAGACAGTTTCTTGATAAAAGTGTGATACATAAAATCTATAGAGAGCTCCATAAAATTTATGAGAATAAGAGTTTTTCTCCAGTTGATAAATGGTCTAAGGATACAAACAGGTAGTTTTTTGATAAAGAAATAAAAATTGTATAGTCATATAAAAATGCCCTAAATTGTTATTGATTAGAGAATTACAAATTGAAACAACTTTGAGGGAACCTTTCACACCTATCAGATTGGATGAAGTGATAGAAGAAGAAAATGTGAAATACTGGAGGAGCTCTGGAAAAATTGGGACACTAATACACTGTTGGTAGTACTGTGAACTGATCCAGGCATTTTGGAGAGCAATCTGGAATTGTATCCAAAGATACCTAAAACTGTTTATACCCTATTACCTTTGTCAGAATGATCAAGAGCATAAGGAAAAGAAGCTACATGTTCTAAAATATTTATAGCAGCCCTCTTTGTGGTAGCAAAGAGCTAGAAATTGAGGAGATATCCATCACTTGGGGAATGGCCACACAAGGGTATATGATTGTGAAGGAATACTACTGTGCTGTAAGAAATGAGGAGCAGGTTGATGAGGACAGAAAGACTTGCATGAAATTATGAAGAGTGAAATGAGCAGAGTCAAGAGAATGTTGTATTCAGTAACATCAACATTGTTCAAAGAATAACTGTGAGTGACTAAATCATTCTGAGTATTTTAAATGCCCAGATCAACTACAAATGACCCATGAAGGAAGATGCGATCTATCTACAGAGAACTAATAAATAGGAGTAGGTAGAGTAGGGTTTTATGTGTCTGTATGTATGTGCATGTATGTGTGCATATGTGTGTGTGTGTATGTCTCCAGTGGTAGCCTTCTTTAGCACAAGGTGTGAGGAAGGGAGGGAGACAGTTCAGAACTTAAAATATAACAAAATATAAATAAAATTAAATTTCTAAATAAATAATTAATGATAGTCATTGTATCCCTTTTCATCTCTTCTGTAGTTAAGCATTCCCAGAACTTTCAAACACTCTTCATATGGCAGGGATTCCAGGTTTCTCATCACCTTCATTGTTGCTATATACGAATGTCTCTTTCTTGCCCAAACTGTTAGTCATATGCTGCTGAGAGATACTACAAAATAATGGAGAAGCAGGCTCCTTTTACATCTTTACAAATGGGTTTTCCATTTGTTGTAAGACATTAACATTGTGTGTAAAGATTGTCACCCTCTCCCACTGGATGTTTTGCAAACCTTGCAGCACTAGAAACCCATTAGTGATTATTAATATTCCATGCACCAATGGTGAATGGAATTATCTTTGCAGAAGTTTCTGTACATTTTTTCTTTTTTTGTGTATGTTTCAACCAAACAATCAATCCACTTGCTGTGGGACAGAGTTTTCAGATGGAGAAATCAAAGCTGTCCATAGTCATATGAAAAAACAATGCTCTAAATCACTATTGATTAGCAAAATATAAATTAAAACAACGCATAGATACCACTTCATACCTACCAGATTGGCTAATAGAAAAGAAAAATAACAACTGTTCGAGGGGATATAGGAAAGCCAGGACATTGAAGCACTGTTGGTGAAGTTGTGAACTGAACCAACCGTTCTGCAGAGCTGCTTGGAACTCTACCTAAAGTACTATGAAACTGTGCATGCCCTTGACTCCTCAATAACACTGCCATATCTGTATCCTAAAATATTAAAAAAAAGGAAAAGGATGTATATGGGTAAAATATTTTAACAGCTCTTTTTGTAGTGGACTTCAATTCTTATGAAAATTGAGGAGATACCTATCAATTGGGTTATTGGCTGAACAACTTGGGGCATATGATTATGTTGGACTACTATTGTGCCATAGGAAATGACGCTTTCAGAAAATCCAGGAAAGATCTACATGAAGTGAGCAGAACCAGAATGGTGTACACAGTAACAGCAATATTTTATGACGATAAATTGTGGATGATTTAGTAATTTTTAGTAATACAAGGACCGAAGACGATTCCGAAAGACTTAAGATAAGAAATGCTATCCACTTCCAGAGAAAGACCTAATGGAGTTTGACTGCAGATCACAGCATACTTCTTTTACTTTCTTTGTTTTCTTTTTTTTTTAATCTTTATTTTTCACAACATGACAAAAGTGGAAATATGTTTTTCATATTTCCAGGTATAGATCTTTTAACTGTCAGACATTGAAAGATTTAAGGCCAGTTGTAGGGGACAAAAATCTTAAGCAATTAAACTGTTGGTACTTTGGGAGTGGATTGACAGATCTGGCCACTAAAATTCAGTCATCTGATGGCACCTTTGATCAAATTTTCTCCATAGTGGCCTTAAATTCAATCAGTTTGGAATTTTAGCAATTTATGTTCAAAATGTCTGTTACCATTGTAAAAACTTAGTGTAAGGAATATTTTTAAAAATTGAAAATAACTCTCTTGACTTGTGAATTACAAAATATTCACTCTCTCCAGATTCTGAAAAGTGAAAAGTAAGCAAGCAGAAAAGAGAAGAGAGTAATTATGACTTCATTTGGAAAAAAATTCTTTGTAGACAATATAACAGACCTTAACTGTTCATTGGGCCAGTCAAACCTTTGGTAAGCTGTTAACAAGGGCTGAAAGAACCCAGATCCCACTTCTGGGCTTAAACAGGAGCAGAAGCAGACCTTCTAAAAGTTTGTAATTACTAAGAATATCTTAATGGATCTTTGAGAGTTTTGTCCCAGAGACTTCTTTGATATATTGGGACTAGGATTAGGCTGTGCAGGTTTCTATCCCTTTTTGGGGAGAATGGGAGAAATTTGAGGTGTTTTAATCTCCTAGAAGATGCCTGAATGTTAATAACTGAGTACTAGTCAAGAAATAATTCAACGTAGGTTAGTGTTATTGGTAAATAAGTTTTTGAAAAAGGTTAGAGATTTCATTGAAAGAAGCAGGGAAAAGGAAGCAGGGGAAGGGAATTCCAAGCTGCCCCAAGCCTTAGCCCGCACCTTATGTCTCCCCGTCAGGTCAAGTAAGAGGATGGGAATGAGAACAGAGTCAGGATCTTTGGATGATTTGAAAGGAATTGGGGGGGAAAAGATTAGAGAGAGCTGGGAATGTTATTATGTGTCTTATAAAATGAGTTTGTAGACTATAATTGACTCTCCTTTTTGAAGCTTTAGTAGCAAGTGACTCTTAGAGAAAATGAGATTTAAGTGTTTAGAGTACTGATTCTGAACCCAGATTTCATTTGGTTCAAAATATATCCTGAAGCTAAATCAGAATGTGGTCTTAAATGTGCTCCTCTATTAGGATAAATATGGTAGATTAGGATCTAAAAAGAGAGGGATGGCCACTTTAAATTTTTGGCTGTGGATTAGCTAAAAATTGTAGGGCCTATGAAGTACTTGAAATAAATAGCTTGTAAAGAATAATACAAAATAATTGAAATTATTACTTAAGTATTCTGTATGATTTCATTTGGAAACATAGATCTCTGTGTAATTGGATTTGTTCGGGTCTCATTTTAAGTGAAATGTGTCTTTACTAGACTTTATTGCACTGTATGGCATTAAGACAAATTGGAAAAATGTATGGATCAGGAAGCTTATTGGCTGTGTGTTCTTAAGCGAGATTACCAAAGGTTATCAATTTGTTAACTGCATAAAAATAATTCCTAACATAAACGTGATAATTTATTGCATTTGAAGTACAGATTAGAAAAGTATAACTCTTTGATTCTTTTGAGTTATAGATTTGTTAAAAGACTGATGTAAATGTTTAAAAAAAAACTCTTCAGAAAAATAAAGGATAGTAATAATGATTTTTTTAAAATGAAGTTCAGAGAGCTCTTTGCTAAACAATTACCAGCACAAAGCTGCGTTCTCTAACAACAGATGGGGATTGGAAAAAGAACCAGCTGAAATTCAAATATCAACAAGATAGTTAAATATAAGCATCCTATGCTGATGTGAGCTTTATTGAAACTTTTTATGTCTATGGTGGGAATTGTGAGACAATGGCGGAGAACAATTTCAGCCCTTGGAACTCACTTTTTTCTTTATCCCTTCTTGGGTATTTCTTTCTGGCCTCAGTAGGATCACATAACACTTGGGAATAAAGATGCAGCCCAGTAACCCAGCACTGGAGGCAAGGATGGAGAAGATCTCTACAACCACCATGGCCTTACCCTTGGTGCTCTGGTACGTGGGGAGGAAGGAGACCCATACACTGCAGAACATCACCATGCTGAATGTGATGAACTTGGCTTCATTGGAGGTGTCAGGCAGACTTCTGGCCAAAAAAGCCACAGTGAAGCCCCCTAGGGCTAGGAAGCCCATGTAGCCCAGGACACAGTAGAAGGCAATATCAGAGCCCTCATTGCATTGAATGATGTTGTGACCAGGTTAAGAGTATGGGTCCATGTCTAGGAAGGGGGGAGAAGTTCCCAGCCAGATGCCACAGAGAATACCTGAATCCCAGAGCAGATGAGGATGACAGAGTTGGACACCCTAGATTCTACCCACATCCTGATTCTACTCCCTGGTATTGTTACCCTGAAGGCCAGAACCACCATAATGGTTTTTGCCAGAATGGAGGACATGGCCACAGTGGAGACAACTCCAAAAGTTGTTTGTCTAAGGAGGCAGGTGGCTGCAGTGGGATGGCCAATGAAGAGCAAGGAGCAGAGGAAACAGAAGGTGAGGGAGATGAGGAGAGTATAGCTGAGAGCCTGGTTTATTGGCCTTGACTATGGGAGTGTCTCGAAACTTCACAAAAACCCAGAGAACCAGAGTTGTCGGGAGAGAGAAAGAAACAGCTATAAATGCTAGTGTTATCCCCACAGGTTCTGCAATATCCAGGAAGGCCACAACCTTGGGGAAGCAATGATCTCTATCCCTATTTGGATACTCATGTTCTGGGCACTTCTCACAGTGGTCCACATCTGAAGAGGAAGAAAATACAGTCAGGTCTTATCTTGTACAGGAGGAGCTACTGTTAGTGACCTCTCTGAGATTACCTTCCACCTACTCTGTATATGTTCTCATTACCTTACTATTCACACACTGTGTTTCCTATTAAAAGGTGAACTCCTTGAAGCAGCAACTATCTTTGTCCTTCTATGGATCCCCAGCACCTAGCACTGTTCCTGGCTTTTAGCATTGCTTGAGAAACCCTACTGCCTCTTGCCTGGTCTGTAGTTAGCACACCACATCTTGCTGGTAGTGGCTTGTATTGTGATTAACATAATGTACGACTTGAATAAGCAAGGTGTTCTAGAACCAGTTTCCTCTGGGTCGACTTCAGAAGATCATTTGGTAGGTAGGATTCACTGCAGTAAGATACTTTGAGATGATTAACAAAAAAAAAATGAAAATAACCCCAGTCCTAATCCCTGTGGGACTGTCATGAAATCTACAATCAGAGAAAAGTCTATGTATGCCTCATTTCCCCCTGTATGATTTGTTACCTTCCATAATCAAACATGTCTTCACTATCAGAACATTTAAAGATTTTTTTGGTTATTTTGCTTCTCTCTTTTTTGTTTTATAACTTTATTTAGCATTTTATTTCCCACCAATTATATGTAAAAACGATTTTTAACATTTGTCTTTAAAAGTTTGAGTTCCAAATTCTCTCACTTTATCCTGCTCCACCATTCCCATCCCCTTTGAGAAGGCAAGCAATTTGATATAAGTTATACATGTGTAGTCAGGCAAAACATATCCATAATAATCATATTGTGAAAGAAAACAGAGAAAAAAAGCCTCAGGAAAAATAAAGTAAAAAAAAGTTTGCTTCAATCAGTATTCACACATCGTCTGTTCTTTCTCTTGGGATGGATAGCATTTTTATCTTAAGTCCTTCAGAGTTTTCTTGGATCATTGTATTGCTGAGAATAGCTAAGTCGTTCAGAGCTGATTATCTCACAATATTGCTGTTTCTTTGTACACAGTACATATCACTTTGCATCAGCCCACGCAAGCCTTTCCAAGTTTTTCTGAGACATCTTACTCATCATGTCTTATAGTACAATAGTATTCCATTTTAATCACTTTTTCAGCCATTCTCCAACTGATGGGCATCCTCTCAATTCATAATTCTTTGCCCCCAGAAAAGGGCTGCTATAAATATTTTTGTACCTAGAGATCCTTTTCCTTTTTGTTTTTTTAAAATCTATTTTGGGATACAGTCGTATTAGGATTATTTCTTTTTTTTTTCCTAGTAGTATTGTTTCTAGGTCAAAGGGTATGCATGGTTTATAGCCCTTTGGATATAGTTCCAAATTGCTCTACAGAATGGTTGAATCAGTTCACAACTCCACTAAGAGTACATTAATGTCTCATTTCCCCCACATCCCTGCCAACATTTATCATTTAACTTTTCTGTCCTATTCACCAGTCTAATAGGTATGAGGTAGTAGCTAAAAATTATTTTAATTTACATTTCTCCAATCAATAGTGAGTTAGAACATTTTTTCATATGGCTATAGAAACTTTGGTTACTTTATTTGAAAACTGATCACATATTTTAATCATTTATCAATTGAAGAATGGCTTTATTTTTATAAATTTGATTCAGTTCTCTATATGTTTGAAAAAAGAGGTCTTTATCAGAGATACTTGCTTGAAAATTTTTTTCACAGTTATGATTGCTTACTGTATTTCCCTCCATCCTATCCCCCTCATTTATTCTATTCTCTCTCTTCTTTCACTTTGTTCGTCCTCAAAAGTGTTTTGCTTCTGAATACCTCCTCCCCCAATCTGCCCTTCTTTCTATCCTCCCCCTTCTCCTGTCCCCTTCCCCTCCTACTTTGCTGTGTGGGAAGATAGATTTCTATGCCCAATTGAGTGGCTTTTTGAGCCCATTCTGATAAGAGTAAGGTGCATCACTCTCTCTCACATTTCCTCTCTTCCCCTCCATTGTAAGAGCTTTTTCTCACCTCTTTTATCTAAGATAATTTACCTCACTCTACCCTTCCCTTTCTCTTTCTCCCTGTACATTCCTTTGACAACCCTTAATTTTATTTTTTAGATATCATCCCTTCATATACAACTCAGTGCAGTGCCTACTCTCTCTATATATATACACTAACTACCCTAATAATGAGAATTGTCTTATGAGTTACAAATATCATCTTCCCATCTGGAAATGTAAATGGTTTAACCTTATTCAGTCCCTTGTGATTTTCCTTTCTTGCTTACTTTTTTATGGTTCTCTTGAGTCTTGTATTTTCTATAAAAGTCAAATTTTCTATATAGCCCTGGTCTTTTCATCAAGAATGTTTGAAAGTCCTCTCTTTCATTGAATGTCTATTTTTTCTCTGAAGGATTATACTCAGTTTTTCAGGGTAGGTGATTCTTGGTTATAATCCTAGTTCCTTTGCACCCCAGAATATCATTTCTAAGTCATCTGAACCCTTAATGTAGAAGCTACTAACTCTTGTGTTATCCTGACTGTGGCTTCACAATACTTGAATTGTTTCGATCTGGCTGCTTGCAATGTGTTCTCCTTGAACTGAGAACACTGAAATTTGGCTATAATATTCCTGGCAGTTTTCATTTTGGGATCTTTTCCAGAAGGTGATTGGTGGATTCTTTCCATTCCTATTGTACTCTCTGGTTCTAGAATATCAGTGTAGTTTTCCTTGATAATTTCTTGAAAGATGATGTCTAGGTTCTTGTTTTGATCATAGCTTTCAGGTAGTCCAATAAATTTTCAATTATCTCTCCTTGATCTGTTTTCCAGGTCAGTCATTTTTCCACTGAGATATTTCACATTGTTTTCTATTTTTCATTCTTTTGGCTTTGTTTTATTGTTTCTTGATTTCTCATGAAGTCATTAGCTTCCATTTTCTCCATTCCAATCTATTTTTCATTCCTCAGGACTGCATTTCACTCCATTAGAGAAATGTTTATGGCATGAAGTACTGTGTAAGGAATACACAACAATATACATTAGGATCTTTATAATAGTAAATGTATAATACATATCTCTACAGGTATCTTACAGAGTAAGGTGAGTGGTGTGCCATCTGTTCATATATGGCAGGACAAGGTAGCTTTTTTCCATCAGTAAGTTTGTAAAGGGTCACCCTATATAAAATCAAAGAAGGAATAGCTTAGGTTCACAGCCCCCCCAACACCAGACAAGCCTGGCTCAGTACCTTTTTTGCACAAGGGAGGGAACAGGCCCTCAATGGGCTCGTTTGTTCCTGTTTTGGGTCTGTGTTTCTGTCGAATTCATCGTCTGGACTGAGGGCCCTAGATCACCTGTTCCTCTCCTTAATGACCATGCTTGTCTAAAAGCAGTTTAATTAAAGTTCAGTGTCTACAACAGGATTCTACAAATTAACGTGGGAGAAACTAACTTGTGATTAGCACACAAATTAGTGACTGAGGCCCGCCATCATGCCACACATCAATAAGTAGGATTTCACAGAATGCTAGACTGGCACCTGCAAATACAGTGCTGTCTCCTGAGTTACAGAACCGGCTGCAGCTTAAGTCAGAAGAGATGATAACTGTTTTCAGTAAAGACACAGTGTAAGGGCCAAGTGAAGGGGGTGGGGAGAGACCTTAAGAGACAGACTCATAGCATAAGGGCGAGTATGCCATCAGTATTTCAAAAATACTTTTAATTAACAAAGAAGAAACAATGATGTGGCCTGTCCTGCAGTATAAGAACATAAAGGGTGGCTCTTTCTTCTAAAGCTCAGACAGAACATGTACTGACCCCCCTCCGTCACCCCCCCACCCCCTGCAGGGGCACCAGGACCTGAGATGCCTACACACACAACAAAAGAGTAGTGGGGGACATAGGGCTGGCATCTTCCTTGACCTGCTTTGCTACTTTGAAAGCTTCCCTACTTTGGCCTTGGTTTTTGGGGTCCTGTCCTGGGGTTGGGGCTGCTCCCAAGGTGGATCTTACTTTTGAAAATAGTCTGCAATTAGTCACACCGACACTTGCCTTTTTAAAAGTATTGAGCACCAGATAAATAGGCATCAGCCCTTGCTGTTTCTCCGACCTTTGGCAGAGAAGCCACTTTCATTTTAAATATTGTAGAAAAATAAGCCTAGCGTGAGCAATCAGAGACGTTGGACACATGCGTGGAGATGTCTGGCCCGACATGATGCCTCAGATGGGACAACAGCCAGCAGTGTCACACTGGCCTTAGCCCCTCCCAGGGCCTTCGGCATCAGGTCAGCAGGGGAATGGGTGCTCTGGAAGGCTGTCGACTGGGCTCTTTCCATACAGGTCCTGTCACCAAGGCCCAATCAAACATCCCTCGAGCACTGGCCAGGTGCTGGTTAGGTCCAATGCCACTGGGAAGAAATTGCATTCAGTTGGGTTCTTGCAAAGCCACCTGCCAGGTAAGCTCCAGGGCTTTGCAGTGAGGACTGACTGGGTGACCACCCCTAACTGGACAAGGAGTCCACGCTCGAGTTGCTAACACTGCTTTGCGACCCCCCTGTTCCCTCCCGGGGGAATGGCTTGGCACCGAGATGGCAATGGCAGGCCTCGTCCATGGGCTCCTGCTCTATCCAGATTGTACGCGGAGCCTGCTCAAGCCGTCTGTCCTGCCGACACAGCATACATTTCCTGAACTGGGAGGAATCCACCCTCCTCCGCAGCTTGTGGTCAGGCACCTGTACGGAGAAGAGCCAGCAATAGCCGTCCATTGGGAAGCAGGTCCCGGTTCCCCCCAGCATGCACGGAGGTGCACGTGACATCCGTCCAAAAAGGCTTCTTCGACAAGTGCCTTCGCCCACTGAGGGCATGTGCTCACCTAGGTCAAGGGTCCCACGAAGCACAAAGCCTCGCTCCTGCTCCTGCTCCTTCTCCTGCTTGCTGCGGTCTGGCTCCCTTACCTCCAGCTGCAGCTCGGTCTGGTCCGCAGGAAGCTAAGGACGTCTCTGAATTTCCCCATTCCCGAGCAATGAAATGACGTTGCTTCAGACTGCCCGGTACTACGGGCTCAGTGCCGTTGAACAGATGACTCATCCTTGGGTCCGGATACTTGGGGAGGGTAGCCAGATTGCTGGTGTATGTGTGCCCCCCTGGGTCGATACGCATGGGAGCGTTGGACTTGGTGAGC